CAACAGTTTCATTTTTCAGGACAAAATGTAGCATAATTCTTTTTATCTGGACCCTAGCAGCTGAATTGCATAAATCATACAAAAAATTATCAGTCAGCTTAAAAACTTTTTGGTTTATTGTCTCATGAGACTCTACTGCTCTGTCTTTCTGCTAGCTTTTGAGCATGCTGTTGGATTTTGATTGAAAGTGGGCTGAGTTTGGGAGCTGTCCCAAAGTCTGTGTCTGCCTGATTCATGGACCGTTGCATTGTCTTGTTTTCTGCTTCCACTGTCATTTTAGGGTCTGTCTTGTACCAAAGATCATAAAGTCTGAATGCAGTAATTACTGACTGTAACGTTCATCCAAATAACTATACCATTATGAACAAAACTTGGTACCTCTTGATAAAGTATGTAGCTGATAGGGATATTCAGCTATGGAACAAACTTGAAGAAGAAAGAAATGGGTCTAAATCAAGAGTCTGTAGTTTCCATACAGTTTTCTAGTAAGACTGAATTCTGCTAAGCGACCTCTTCGTTTATATTACTGCTGTGATTCAATCTGTATTTCAAAAATTAGTGTAATAATAGCATTTTGGACATACGGAATAATATCAAATTTTTCTTGTTAATTGCTATAACTGTTCTGTCAATTTTAAACATGGAATAGTCTGTGCACTTAGTTTGTGTATGCTGTTGACCTCCTGTGGTTTTGTTTTCAGCTACTGTATCCAAGACATGTTGATGTGTTGCTCATATTGCTATGACTCATCCAAGTAGCATGAAAAACTCATAGCTGACAGTAAACATACAAAAAAAAAAAAAAATACCCCTCACTGTAAGTTAGTCACTGTTTGTCCTAGAGTATTGTTTCATGCTAGTATTAAATCATCTGTTCAGAGATGTTTTCTGCTATTCCCATTAACTTACCATTATATCAAAAACTTTAAATTTTAGCTGTAGGCAGTTCTAACATGCAAAATACAGATTGTGTGTATGTGTATATTTATATATATGTAAATTTAAAAAACATTTAAATGGTAGGGTAATTTTTGCCATTTTAGTGAACTATAACATTGTCAAAGTAAAAGAAGATGTTTAGTGTTCTGATAATGCCTGTGCCTACACGCTTACACTAACTGTTAAGCATTACAGTAAGGAATATATCATAGAATCATGGAATGGTTTGGATTGGAAGGGACCTTTAAGGTTATCTAGTTCCAACTGCTGCTATAGGCAGGGACACTCCCTCTAGACCAGGTTGCTCAGGGCCCTATCCAGCCTTGAATGCTTCCAGGGAGGGGGCATCCACAGCCTCACTGGGCAACCTGTTCCACTGCTTCACCATCTTCATAGTAAAGAATGTCCTCCTAATATCTAGTCTAGATCTACCCTCTTCCAGTTTAAAGCCATTTCCTCTTATCCTGTTGCTACATGCCCTTATAAAAAGTCCCTCCCCAGCTTTCCTGTAGGCCCACTTCAGGTACTGGAAAGCTGCTGTAACGACCCCCCAGAGCCTTCTCCAGGCTGAATAGCCCCAGCTCTCTCAGCCTGTCTTTGTATGGGAGGTGCTCCTCCCTCAAGCCCTCTGATCATCTTTGTGGCCCTCCACTGGACCTGCTCCTACAGCTCAATGCCCTTTTTGTGTTGGGGGCTCCAGAACTGAACACAGTACTCCAGGTAGCATCTTACAAGAACAGAGTAGAGGGGCAGAATTAACCTCCCTTGTCCTGTTGGTTGTGCTTCTCTTGATCAACCCAGGGTACTGTTGGCCTTCTGGCCTGCATTGCAGACTTGTCTGTCAGGAATTGAGCCAACTACAAAAATTACTGCATTAGGTCTAGATTCATTGATCTGCGTAATGTTATTTGAAAGTGAAATGGAGAGAAAGTAGAAAGATTTTGCCTTAAATATATTTCAGATCAGTCTTTTATAACCAAGCAAATACCCAAAGCATTCAGACCAGCTGAACAGTATCTTATTTACAAGCAGCCTCTGTAACTTTCTTCCTTTTTAAATATATATCAATCCAGCTTTACTTTATAAGTGTTTGGGTTTTTTTTTCCTTAGATAAATTAACTCAATGTATTTTCTATCTCCTGTATGTATTTTGCTGCTCTGCTTAGATCAGTATGTCCGGTCTTGAAATGTAGAACCAAAATTTTGTTCTTTATGCAGTCTAAGAGCAGCCTGCGAAGTAGAAAAAAAAAAAAGTCTCTTAGTCTCAAACATGATATATGCCTATTGCATAGAAAACACTCTTAATAGGACTACCTTATGTTTAAAATTAACATATCCAATTGTTTAGGTTATATACTACTGTAACTCATAAATCTTACCTTACTTTTGAAATAGTTGCCATACTCCATATTTGATACTCTGTCATTTCTGGAGTGTTTGTATTTCTCTACTGGATTCTTCAGAGTTCTCCTGTGACTCTTAATGTGTGGTTGTTGATGGTTATGATACTGTGTTCACTTAACTGAATTTTCTTATCCAATTTGTGCACTCCTTTTGAATCAGTGAAATATTTCGAATTCTGAACTTGCTGTCCATCTTTTATATTATTTTCTAGCTGGTAATCCTGTAAGAACATGATACTGTGCAAATTCTAAACAGATCCAATATTTAAGTAATGGCGGCCCCTTGGAGTGAGAATAACTAACTAGTAGCTAGTCTTGTGCTTACATTTTTCTTAGCTAGTTTTAACTATTATTCTCTTGCAAGGGGTTTTTCACATCCATGCACATACTTCACATAATGATAACAATTATCATATTCAGAAATTCATATAGCAGTTAAACTTTCCTGAAGTTAGAAAATATCATCAGTTTTCACAGTTGACTTTCAAACTAAGATCAAACTGTTGAAAACAGTTGGTACCAAGGAGCTAATAGCCACACTGTGTGTGTTTGACAGAGAGCAGTTATATTGCACTAGCTTTAGTCTAGTCTTGAGAATTGAGAACTGAGTGCATAGTGGCACTTCAGGATACGAGTTTCTCTGCTGCCTGCTGTTGTGCGCACATTAGTTGCAATGCTGTTTCTAGTTTATGGAAGAATATGAAAGAAAAAAAATGAAATCTCATCCAGTAGTAAGGCTTGAGATTACTTGAAATGACAGTCCACTACCAGGGCCAACTGCTTTTTAAGTAAAATGTCTGCATTTGTAATTATAGTTCCCTTTGCACATTAAAAAGAACTGTGCCTCTGCAGGAGTGTATTCTGAGGTTGATCTGCAGAACCATTGAAATAAACAGCTTGTACTTATGTCAGAATGTAGGGAAAAAGGTGCTGAAAATGGTCTGGTGTATGTTAAATTCAGTTTTCTCATTTGCTAGTGGAAAGAATTAGGGGAGAGGTCCAGATATATAATGACTGAACCTGAATGACTGCTGATGAACTTGTCTGAAGTGAACAAGAAACTGTTTTTACTTGCTGTCTTCTCACACTGTTCTGCTTACACTCTGCCAGCCAATTTTTACAGTTCATGAGATATCAATAGAAATGCTAAGACAGCAGTGGTGGCCTTAGGCAGTCCAGCAATATGGCATAAAAACAGATTGACAGTAGGATTTCACATATTGTCACAACCAGTTAAGGCATGCAATTGCCTAGTTTTATTATTTAAAATTTAGAGGTGGGGGAAGCTGATTGTATAATGACTTTCTGTATACTTTATTATTTCTGTTTATAGCCTCTGCTAAGAAAAGTGGAAAATTGGCAAGGTTACATTTTTCTTAGAGTATTAAATTGACCTTGATGAGCTCTATCTTTGGGCTACAATTCTCTATCTCACTAACAGCTTTGGTTTTCAGGTTGTTGTGCATTTTTCTCAGAATTAAAAAATATTTCTTAATACGTAATGTAGTCCTTGCAAGAATTTGTTCTTGTTGAGCATAAAATTAAAATATCTTCATTTTGAGTGACTGTTGTGCTAATAAAATTGAATTAATAATAAATAGGCAGCGTATGCTGTATTTTAATAATTCCTGTGGTATTCACTAGTTGCACAAACACTGACTTTCCTTACAGAGGAAAACTGTTAATACTTCTGTGACTAAGAATTCAATGAGTATCTCTTTCAAAAGAAAGGGACAAACTGCAGAACTGTTGCAGTCAGTTATTAGTCACTTGAGTTTTTGGAACTCCTTTATTTCTAGTGATTTCACATTAGACTGTAGAACTGTTTTATTGTTTTAGAACGGGCAGTAAATAAGATGTCTAGGAACTTCTTTGCTGCTCATATGAAGGAGAACAGTATCAGATCTTTTAGAATAAGATAATTTTTTTTTCTCGATATGTTAAAGCATGACATGCACCTGATTTGCTCTTTCTGAGACTGGTTTTGGCCTTGAAAACTGCATTTATAAAATTAAGCCTCATAACTGACAAATGAGCTTGAAGTGTTTAGAAGTTCCTACAGCTTATGTAGGAACTTATGTAGGTACATTTAACCTTTGCACTTATTTTAGATGTACCAAAAATTGCAAATCCTGAGGAATTTATGGCAGGTCAGGCTGAATATCTGTTGTGGGACACATTTTCAGCTTCTCCTTTTTTATGTGCCTGTGCTGCTGTAGACAATCTGTGTCTAGCTTTGCTTCAAAACTGTTACCCTAGCTGTGTTTTTCAATGCAACTGTTTTACATTCTTTAGGCTTTCTAATCTCTGCTGAGGTTACCGGTTGCACAACAAGTACATGTTCTACAGATAGCCTGAGAGCAGCTAGAGGAACAATCTGAAACATAGCATTTGAAAGTAAAGTTAAAAAATCTGTCAGTAGGCAAGTTATTCAGTTGTGCAAACATTTTTCTTCTGAGAGGAGTATGACTTTTGTATCTCATGTATATAGAAACAGCAAAAATAATCAAAGAAGTCTGATTTTTGGTATGCTTCCCCTTGTGATGAATGAAATTCCTTGCATTACTTGGGAAGTACTACCAAATATCTTACGTTTTATACAGTCATTTTTTATAGAGTTGTAAGTAACATATGTTTTGTTTTGTTTTTTATTTTCAGCTTCTTTGTAATACTGGCCATGCTGAAGAAAAGCTAGGTTTTACATACGACAGGATCATAATATGGTAAGTTATACGGAAAACAGGGATGCTACAGAATACTTTGGTAAAACTGTGGTACTTTAATTGATTGAAGTGCAGTTAAATAAACTTTATTTGTATTTTTGACTCTGATATTTTATAACTCCAGTGTGTTTAAAATGTCATAACATGAATGTACACTTTATGAATGTTTTATTGTGTAAAATCGGAAATAAACAATACACTTTCAGGCAAAATGGAAAAAATATTAGCATGAATATTTGTTCTATATTTCCTCAAATGCGAAAATACCTTTAAATTTCTCAGTACTTACAGGAAGGACTTGTATAAAAAATCTTTTCTTAAGGAATTTGGAGTATACATACTCTTCATGTTGGTGTCAGATTGAAAGGTGAACATCTTATGTATGTGCATATGCTTTGCAGTGCTGCTCAATTTGCTACTAAGATACTGTGTATATACTTACAAGTGGAATTTTCCTATTATCTGTATCAATTTCTGACACTTAAAAGTAACTACATGCCTATTTCCAGAACTTCTGTGAATTTGTGTAAGCATTGGCAAATTGGCACTGAGGTTCAGCGTTGATGGTATAAAAGAAACAAGATCCAGTATTTTATGACTTTGTGTTCTTTCAAATATAGTCTCCTAATTTAGGAGAGCAATTTTAGAAAAGCTAAAATCTAGTAAAAATTAAGTAAAATTAGTGTGATTTGTCTGCAGATGCTGTAGGTACTTTTGTTAAATAGAACTGACTTTCTCTGGTTAAGATGAATGTTATTTTAAATGCTCATATTTCTGTGGATGCATATTTAGCTGTTTAAAACTTTAGTACTTAATAATCTCCTCTTATCTGTTATCTGCTGTAGTGTTCTGCATTGATATAAAACATCACTGGAGGGTATAGCTTCAAAATTAAAAATTTACCACACATTTTTAAATACAGCTCTGGAATGGTTACACAAATATTGTTTGTTTTTATAGGAAAAAAACTCTCAAAGATCTGCTAATCCTGATATGATTGGATAAAAATACTTTGTTCTCAGCAAACAGAGAAGAAAAATAGCTGTAAATGCTGAACTTTCTAGTGAGTGTAGGATGTGACCTTGAGCTAGGCTAAATACGTATATTCCTTTGGAAATAATTTAAGTTTGTAACTTGCTCTGCAGACGTTCTTAATTTTGCCTTGGATTTTCATATGCTAATCTTCTAGTAGAGAACAAATTCATTTTCACTGCAAGGAGTTAATTGGATATAAGTAATGCTGTATGAGCTTCTGCATTTGTGGAGTATAAATGGTTAACTTTAAAACTGTAGAGAATTAAAAACTGTAAGAGAATTAAAGATTTCAAGAAAAATCATGCATTTCCCATAAAAATTTAGGTTTTGATGCCATTAATCCTGACAGAACTTTTAACGTTTAAAATTAAGGACAGTTGCAGTGTGGACAGTAATCTGCAGCAACTACAGTTATTCTTGAGTTAGAAGATCTGATTTTTAGAACTCATTCTTTTTAGTTGGTCTAAGTACATTATAGTTCTTTCCTGCAAGAAGATGGAGAGAATAGTGACATGTTTTATTGTCATTCTCAGTGTAGATCTTGCTGGTTTCCAGAGCATCAGGCCGTTGGTAGCTTAGCAGAGATCTTGAGCCATGAAGAGCATGGAACACTGGTAGGCCTCAAATTTCTGAGGTCTTTAACATACCAACAGGCTTTGGCCATTTGAAGTTTATAATATTTACAGTTATCTGATGGATTCAGAAACCTGTCAAAACCATAACTTGTTTTTACTGTAGAGAGTGGGGATGAGGCAGTTTAGGAAATAAGTCTTAGAATGAAGCTGTGGTAGGCAGCGAATATGCTTTCTACTTTTGTCCTCTGTTAGTCCTTCCATACTTTTTGTCAGTATTAAAGTTTATTTATCTTAATGCTATCTTAATAAGTTTTTAATTTCTCTAGTGACACTTAAAATACTGGAGCAAGTAGAACGCTGTTAAGTCTTTATTCCTTATACCATCATAATGTCTCTTTAGCTTTTAGTCAGATATGTGCATAGTGTGCAGATTGGAATCGCTTAGTTGATCCAGTGGCTGCTTCAAAATCCTTTGCGTTATCTCAAATTTAACAATCTTGAACTTTCATAATCTTGTTAGTTTTAGATACAGGTAATTGTTAAATTGCCTTGAAAATTCTTATAGCCTTACTCTCTTCTATTTAACATAATGCTATGTGTAATTTTCTCATAGTCTTTTTCCAAAATGTGAATTGTGTATTAAATCCTGTTTTTCAAAGGAGATTGTGAACCTGATACTTAACAGAATAAAAATCAGCATAAAATTTGTCAGGACAGAAATCTTCCACTCATTCATCTTAGATTTTTGCATTCATTCTGTTGATTTATGTGACCAGTTTTCATCACCTTAAAATGTCTGTGTATCGCTTTCTTCAGTCTTCAGCAACTTCTTGTATTAAAGTTGGATTTGCTAACTTAGGGAAGTGTTTCCTTTTTAATATACTATTGTAGCAACTCCTTTCAAGTATTTCAAAAGATTACCAGAAGTCATTTTGCATAAACTGTATTTTTTTCCTCGTGTGGTTAGTTAGTTTTCTTTCAAGAATATCTGATGGTTGCCTGGATGCACTATGGAATCCTTTCTGTAGACAAATTTATTACCTTTCCTCTGTTGTGATTGCTACTGTTCTATAATAGAATGCTAACAAACATATGAAGATACTTCATGTAAATGTTCTTTCCAAACACTTCACATTGGCCCATCAAACTTCTTATTTAGTAGTTCCTGATTTCTTTCAACTCTTCTACTGTTTTCATTTCTTATTCCAACATTTAGTATAATAAAAAAGGCAATAGAATAGAAATTTCATTGCAGAGCAGTGACTTAATATGAAGAAGGCATGTTTCTCGAAGACTTCTGTCCATCTCATTTGCTTCATTCTTTCTCCTCTTCTGGTTCTCCAGTAGATCTGATTCATTTTTTAAATTTTCTACATGAGAACCCACAGAAATGTTCATATACACATGCATATATGTTTGTGTTATTAACACTTTTCCCCTCCCCAGTTTTCTTTTTCTTTTTTTCTTCTGTGATTATTGGCTTTAAAAAGTCAGATTTGTGTTTTTTGCCTAACATGTTTTCTCAGGTTTTGTGGTTTGATCATTGATCAGCCAATGCCTTAGTTTCTTTACTTTGTTTTCAATTGAAAGGTTTTGGTTTGGCCTTGTAGTTTTGTTGTAATTGCTTTTATTGGAGCTTGATGAATTTTTAAAGCCTGTAATTTAGGACTTTGTCAGCTAGCTGTAGAGTGGCTTGGATTGGAAGGAACCTTAAAGATCATCTAGTTCCAACCGCCAGCCATGAGCAGGGTTGCCTCCCACTAGATCATGCGGACTGGGTCACCATCCTACTTGGCCTTGAATGTCTGCATTCATCGGGCATCCACAACTTCTTTGGTGTCTCACCACCCTCTGAGTAAAGGGTTCCCCCTTAAGATCTCACATAATCCTCCCTTCTTCTTGTATGAAGCTCCTCGTCCTGTCACTACCAGTAAAGAATTGGTCTTCTTCCTGTTTATAAGCTCCCTTTGCCAGGATGAAAACAGCTAGCTCCCATCATCTTTCTTTGTAGCTGAGGTATTCCAGCCCTCTGGTCACCTCTGTGGCCTTCCTCTGGACCCAATCCAATGGCTTCATATCATTTGTGATCTGAGCCCCGCCTTGGTCTGAGCTCAGTTCTCCACATGGGCCTTGTGTGGGCAGAACAGATGGAGGGGCAATCACCTGCCTTTCCCTGTTGGCCACTCCTCTTTTGATGCAGCCCAGGATACGGTTGACCTTCTGGGCTGAAAATGTCCACTGCTGGCTCATATCACGCCCACCAGGAATCCAGAGTCCTCTGCAGGGCTGCACTCAATGAGTACTTGCCCTAGTCTGTACATATATCTGGGATTGACCCACCCAAGTGTGCTTGGCCTTCTTAAACCTATTAGGTTTGTGTGAGCCCACATGTCAAGCTCATCCAGATCACTTTGGATGACATCCCTTCCTTTTATATTAACTGTGCCACTCTGTTTGTTGTCATTTGTAAATTTGCCGAGATTGCACTTGATTTCCCCCATGTATGTTCTTCATCAAGATGTTAAAGTGTGCTAGTCCCAAGATAGACCCCTAGACCTCTTGTAGTTGGCATCCACCTGGATGTAGAGCCAGTGATGACAACCCTCTGACTGTGACCGTCCAAGCAATTCTTATTCTCTTAATAGACCACTCTTTAAATCCATGTCTCTCTATCTTAGTAATGAGGATGTGATGTTGGACCGTATACAAAGGACCATATCTTCCTTTGTCCCCTAATGCAGTCATTGTCATAGGTGACCAAATTGATTGGTCAGGCATGATCTACCTTTAATGAAGCTGTGCTGCCTCTCTCAGATCACCTCATTTTGCATTTCTTTCAGGCAGTCTTCATTTTCCATGCTTTGTCACTTTTTAAATGACAATATGCCTCTTCTGCTTTTAGGTAACTTCATAGTGTTGTCCTTCACAGTGGTTTCACTGTTGGTATCAACTAATTCTTGTCTACAAATTAATGTTGTCTTCTCTTGTGAGTTGTAGAACAAGCTGTCAAAGCATTATTGCTTTAAAGAACTTTAGAGAAAGATTTTTTTGTTTTGTTTCGTTCAAGGAATGTTTTCCTCTCAAATATAAAAGTAAATGTACTTTTCTTGGGATAAAAATCCTTAAACAGTATTTGGCTGTCTTAAGAAACATCGTGGGTGGCAACAACATTGTTTTCTTGAGAAATGCATACTTTCTGTATTAGAAGTAAGCTCTGGAATGTCCTAAACTGAAAAATCCAAACCAATTCTAAATAGTAAAGTAAAAGTCCAAATAGAAAAGTATCATTTAGAAGAAGTGAGTTGTATGAGCTTCTCTCTGATTTACATCTCTATAAATCTACAATACTAGAAACCAAGGATGACTCGTGACCTAAGAAATATGTATTATCTGCTTAAGACAGCTGAAGACTTGCTTATTCTTCTTTTTGTCTGCTTTGCCTGAGTGACTCTGGAAATATCTCCTAGTTCTGCTTTCGTATAGGAAGGATCTTTCCTAACATCATAATATTTAAAATCTGTTTCTTATTTTCTACTAAATGAGCTTAAAGTAAGCAAAGACAATTAGTAGCACTCAACTTCTATGTGAAAAATCATATTTGATTTTACAGTAATTATGGTCTTCCTGAAATAATTCCCTGCTGGATATAGAAAGTAATAATCAGTTTGTCTTTATTTCCATGTTATGTGTCAGCCTTTCTATACATATTTCATTGAGTAGATTACTGTTAAAATTACTTCTACATGGACTGACTAATTGATCTCCAGAAAGATCCAGAAGATCTTGGCCTCAAAATAGTTGATTATTGTGCAGGACCATTTTAGAAAAAGAAATGTTGAAATGCTTACAAATCTATGCTATGTAATATGTATTTTTCATTTAATTTCTTATTTCACACAATCATTTTGTATCTTCAGAGAGAAATGCTTATTAATTAGTTAAGACACAAATTTGTCTCACTTCAGTGTCAAGATGTTGTTTTGAGGATCCATGTTTAGGAGTTAACATTGTAAAGAGGAGAAAATCCTGCCTACCTGTGTATCTTTCTGGAAATTTTAACTGATCTAGAACACTTTTTCATGATTATTCTTGTATTCATCTGCTTTGATAAATAACATGTCATATACAGATCATAGTGATATGTTACTTCAGGAATGCGCAGACTGATTGTAAAAGTAAATCATTGTTCAGATTAATATATTATATCAATATTAGTATCAATATGTTAATTGTCTTAATCTTCTGGCAAGAGCATGGTTCGACTTCTAGATTGTACAATATTTCAAAGACGGAAAACTAATTGAGGGTATTTCTCTTTAAAAATCACATTTTATTTTAAAGGAGTAGATAGTACCTACATGTCAGGTGGTAAAATCTACCAACTACTATGTAACTATATAATTATTATACAACTATATACCAACTACTATATAACATATACTGTATGTTTGCTCTCTTTGTTTCCTTTGTTGTAGCTTGCGGTTAGCTTTACTAAATGAAGCAAAAGAGGTGCGAGCAGCAGGATTGCGAGCCCTTCGCTATCTCATTCGAGACTCTAGTATTCTCCAGAAGGTGCTAAAGTTGAAAGTGGATTACCTGATTGCCCGGTAATTTTCCCTTCTTGTTGTAAATAGAAATTTTTTGAAATTTTATATTACATGTTTTTCATGGTTGAGACAGGTGAGAATAGGTTTAATATCTTCTTACATTTTTTTACATGTAGTATTACAAGTCTATTTAATTCAGGGTGGATAATGTCCAACTCTTAAAAGGAGGACAGTGGTCATAGCTTCTAATGCAAAGGCAGTGCTGTTCTAATATTTGATACACATGAATAATGTAAAAAATTAATAAAGATGTGATTGAATCACAAATGCTATTAATCAGAAATAAACATGTGATATTATTAGTAGGTTGAAACCTTTGTAATTTTCATGTCTTCAGTTGTTTTGCATAGAATGATAGAATGGCCTGGGTTGAAAAGGACCCAAAGGTCATCTACTTTCAACCCCTCTGCTACGTGCAGGGTTGCCAGTCTCTAGACCAGGCTGTGCAGAGCCACATCCAGCCTGGCCTTGAATGCCTCCAGGAATGGGGCATCCACAACCTCCTTGGGCAACCTGTTCTAGAGCATCACCACCGTCTGAGTGAAAAACTTCCTCATAATGTCTAACCTAAACCTCCCCTGTCTCAGTTTTAAACCATCCCACCTTGTCTTATCAGTATCCAGTTTGTATCTCTTTCAAGATCTGGAAATCCACAATGAGGTCTCCCCAGAGCCTACTCTTGTCCAAGCTAAATAAGCCCAATTCCCTCAACCCTTCCTCATAGGAGAGGTTCTCCAGCCCTCTGATCATTTTAGTGGCCCTCCTCTGCTCCAAGAGCTCTGTGTCTTTCTTGTACTGGGGGCCCAGACATGGATGCAGTACTGCAGATGGGGCCTCACAAGAGCTGAGTAGGGTGGGGACAATCATCTGCCTCTCCCTCCTGGCCGCCCCTCTTTTAATGCAGCCCAGAACACAGTCAGCCTTCTGGGCTGCAAGCAAACACTGCTGACTCACGTCCAGCTTCTCATCCGCCAGGACCCCAAGTCCTTTTCCACAGGGCTACTCTCAAGGAGATCTTCCCCCAGTTTACATAAATAGCTGGGATTGCCCCAACCCAAGTGCAGCAGTCTGCACTTGACCTTGTTGAACCTCATTAGGTTTTCATGGGCCAACTTCTCCAGCCTGTCCAGATCCCTCTGAATGGCCGCCCTTCCTTCCAGTGTATCATCTGCACTGCTCAGTTTGGTATTATCTGCAAAGTTGCTCAGGGTGCACTTGATGCCATCGTCTATGTCACTGATGAAGATGTTGAAGAGCACCAGTCCCAAAGCAGACCCATGAGGGACACCTCTTGTGACTGGCTTCCATCCTGACACATATCTATTGATCACAACAGTTCAGTGTCCAGCCAAACAATTCCTAATCCATCAAACAGTCCATCCTTCAAATCCCTACCTCTCCATCTTTTTAGAGAAGGATGTGGTGAGGGACCATTCCAAACGTTTTGCAGAAGTCCAGGTAGATGACATCTGTTGCCCTTCCCCCGTCCACTGATCTTTCACATCCTTGCCAACTTCAGGTCCAACTGTGCCTTAACTTTCTTAGTCGTATCTCTACACATGCAGAGAGCAGTCCTGTATTCTTCCCAGGCTACACAACCCTGCTTCTACTTCCTCAATATTTCCCTCTTTTCCCTCAGTTTAAGCTTCAGGTCTTTGCAGAGCTATGTCTGTTGCCCGCCTCCTCTGCTTGGCTACTTCTTCTGGGGGATGGAGAGCCATTGAGCTCTTGGAAGGATGTCCCTAAAGAGATGCAAGCTCTGTTCTCTGTACCCATGCCCTTATAGACAGTTTCCCAGGGGATCCCACTCAGCAGTTCCTTGTACAGCCAGAATTTTGCTCTCCTGAAGCACAGGGTCCTAGCTCTGCTTTTTGCTAGGCCCACATTCTTCCAGATCACAAAATCCAACAGGGCATGGTCACTGCAGCCCGGGCTGTCTCCAGTCTTAACCTTTTTAATGCCCTCTTCTGCATTAGTGAGTACCAGGTCCAGTAAGGATTCACCTTGGGTTGGTCCATCTAATACCTGGACTATGAAATTACCCTCAACAGACTCGAGGAATCTCTTGAATTGTTTGCCAGTTACCCTAGTAGATATCTGAGTGGTTGAAATCCCCCATCAGGACAAGAGCCTGTGAGCACAACACCTCCTGCAGCTGAGGCAAGAAGACCTCATCCACAGGCTCCCTCTGATGAGGTGGCCTGTAGCAGACCTCAGTCACTAGATGCTCTTTACTGGGCCAATCCTTGAGTTTAATCCACAAGCTCTCAGCCTTATTGTGCCTGTTTCTCAGGCACAGCTCTTTGCAATCTGTCCACTTGCTAACATAGAGGGCAACTCTACCCCCCTCCTACTCCGTCTATCCCTTCTGAAAAGCCTATAGTCCTCAATCAGAGTATTCCAATCATGGGATTCATCCCCCCATGTTTCTGTGATAGCAATTAGGTCATACTTTCCCAATTGTGCCACAGTTTCTGACTCCTCCCATTTATTTCCCATGTTTCGTGCATTGGTATAGATGCACTTCAGCTTAGCTATTGGCCTTGTCAGATTTATTCCAGTTCTTTGTATTATCATTTCCATAGTGCTTTAGAGGCCCAGTACAAAGTCAGGACAGAAAAAGTAGTTCAAACCTGAGAATTTGTAATGGAAGTAAAACCTGTGACACCACAGTGATACTAAAGAGCAAACTAACAATGAGATGATAAGGCCAGCATGGTGACTAGATGAATTTACTGTTACTTCTATTGCTTCCTTCATTAAAATTTCCAAGTTTGTTATGATGATACGAATGTGTGCGTGTTTCTGGATTGATGCGCACACACATGCTCGGTTTTAGTGTGCTGTTAAATTCTGATGGTCAAAGGCACTTTTCTGATCTGAAAGCACTCAGAACATGTTGATTTAAAATAGTGCAAATGCTCTTCTTTAGTCTCATTTGAAAAGACAGATGCAGCTAGCACTAAATTGTTCCTGAAGTTGTTATGCCTTGTCGTTTGAAAGTATTCTAGTCATTTACTTACAATAAAAACAACTGAAAATTACATAAACTGAACACAATCTGCGAACTATGAGTATGCTTGCTTAAAGGGATTGGTTTTAAACAATTATTCATAATAAGCTTTCTTCTGTTTATTTAGTTGCGTGAATACTCACACAATATGATTACTGTTAAGGTGAAAGTTAGTGCTATAAAAAAAACCCACAATTAAGCATGCTTTTGTTTTTTGATATTTTAGGTGCATTGACATACAGCAGAGTAATGAAGTAGAAAGAACACAAGCACTTCGCTTAGTCCGAAAGGTAAAAATTTAACTGCAAATAGTCTTACTGCATCTGTCAGTCGGCTATGCTGACTCCAGGATTTCTCTATAAGCAGTTTTTCTTTTTACACTCTTATGAGGAAAAAGACTGACTTTGATGTTAATCTTTTTGACTGAGAATCTTGAGCAGGCTAGAAAATTCTTGCTGGTTTTTCATTGATGGAGATAAAACTGAACACAATTATTTACCTTATTTTTGATACCAAAATTCCTGTGTTAAGAGTAGTATTAGGTAAAACTTCAATGCATCCTTTCACTTATCCTTTTCATAAAGGAGAAGAATAAAATAGAAAGTGTTTTTGATATCTATAAAAAGCATTTCTTGATAAACTTGTTTTAGAAAGTTTGCAGGTTAAGTAGTAAAATAAAAAATAACAACTTCAAACTTTGTAAACTTTGGAGATTTTTTGTTGCTTTTTGGAAGAGTTGGCATGTTAATAGTGTATTTCAGTTATGCTCTATGAGGATGTTTTGTGCTGAGAGCTTTGTAACTTAACAGTGTCTATAAGGGTAAAAATAAGTTGCTTCAGAAAGCATGTTAGCATTTAGTAGATATTATATACCCATTCTATTGCTAATTATTATTTTATGCTGTTCTAAAAATGAAAGGCTATGTGGGTGGGGAAGAGTTTGTATTTTCTTTAGAGTGTTATCTTAATGCTTCCTGTTTTGTGGGTAATAATGTTATGTATGACAAAAAGTTTCTCAAATGTGTCTTAAAAATAAACTTGTTATAGTGTTAAAATGTATTTCTTCTCACTTTAGCATTGCAAATAAAGAAAAACAATCCCCTTTGGCAAACAAATATCTTAGACATCTCACAGAACTGTAAGAATGAACTTAGGACAAAACAATTTTGGAAAAGACCCAATTTTTTAAAATCTTTTTTATTTTTGGAAAGAAAAGAATGTGAGAGAAAATCTTCACAAGTTGGCTTGAAAATTTTTGTAGATATTTGGTGGCTGTTGAGCATTTTTTCACATTGCGTATTTTTCATTAGTAGAAAATATGATATGATTGGGTGGACTTTAAGAAAATATGTTGTTCCCTTTTAAAGCAGTCAGACAACAACAAAAACCTATTTCTCCTTAGTAATATGTCTGCTTATCTGCAGTAATGCTCCTGTTCCATAGTACATAGGATATGTGTATTTAATTTTAGCAAACTGAAAATATGTAACTATATAGTTTTTTCAGCCTCAGTTAAAGCCTTGGGATGAGAAGTCATTTGTTTAGTTTGATTGTTTTTGTCTTTAATGTGTGCATGCAGCCTTTCTCCTTAAAAGTGGTTTAAATTCTTCTTGTCTTAAACTAGCAGCTGAAAGTTTTGGTACAGGAGCTCTTAAGTAGCATGAAGGACCATTTGCTATTAGGGCAAAAATTTTGTCTTAAATTTATTGCAAGTGTTTTTTATATCTTAATTTAGTGACTGTTGACATATGAAAGCAGATCTGGTTTCGTCTGTGCTTTTCAATATGAAATGTTTAAAATCTGTATTTTTTGTGATGTATCTATGCAGCTTATGATAAAGGTACATTGGCTGTTACTTCTATGAGGTTCTATACGTGAGGGTTCAGGGATGTATCTAGCAGTTGCCTTCCAAGTAGTGTAGCAACATCTTTTGTTGACTGTTATTTTTTTCTTGTCTACAGTTCTCTGTTCCTTTGTGTGCAGCTGCAGGTCCCTAGAAAACATAATTTTGGTCTTGGCAAATTGAACAGTTGAATAGGTATAATGAATGTTGTGGTATGGATTAATCTTACAGAAGAGTTTCTAATCTTCTCTTTGTCAGTAGGTATCTCTATTATGATGAAATAATAAAAAAAAAGCAGGAAGAGAATGGTAAAGTAAATTGTCAAAAATTCTTCAGAATACCATAAGAAGTTACAGGATTTGCAGGATGTAGCCAAGTTATATGTAGAATTATTAGTACAGTTTTATCTAAGAAACAATGCTGCTGAATCCAAATATGTTTTGAAAAATACTGTAACAAAACCAGATCATATTTTTCTTTTATTTTTAACAGATGATCACTGTGAATGCTTCATTGTTCCCCAGCTCTATTACTAATTCTTTGATAGCAGTTGGAAATGATGGTCTTCAAGAAAGAGACAGAATGGTTCGAGCATGTATTGCCATTATTTGTGAACTAGGTAAGATAATTGAAGCTAACTAAGAAAACTGAAATTGTTGTCATCAGTTTTTGAAGGGATTCTCTTGTGTGTTCATAGTAAATAGCTTTTTTTCAAATAATAAAGTGAATTTTTTTATTAATTAATGAATTAGAGTTTAAATCTTCTTAATGTCTATTTTGTAGGTTTAGCTTGATATTAGAATTAAAAAATAAGGGCTTTAAACTGAAAATCTCTTAAACATCAAATATTTTGGGTACAGTGCTTTAGGTACTGTACTTTAATAATTGGCATTTTTCTGTTAAATATTTTCTTGAAACAGTTGATAATTTCTAGGATTAATGGACTGGAAATTGTGAGATCTTCATATGTGAGTTTCAGAGTATTTATATAGTATTTATATAATATTACTTAGTATTAGTGAAAAATAACTTCAGTGTTTTCAAGACATAGTTTTCTGGTTTAAAGAAATAAGTAATTTGCTAATTTTTTAAGTTAAAAGCATCCAAGCTTTGTAATTCTGGACTGATATTTTTTTGGAGGGAAACTTGAGCCTTACTGTATAGAAACTTGGTTAGAAATATGGAAACTTGGTTAGAAATACAGTGGAAAATTGCTAAACAATGGTGATTGATTGACCAGAGTTTTAGTTGATAAAATTAATTAAAAATCTCAGTTCATTGCTGCAGTCTGTCAGTTCCATTATAAACCTTATGTGTATCTCAGCAGCATTCAAGAAGGAAAGGATATATATGTTCTAAACAGACACGTTTGTCATGCTGAAAATCTTGAGATGTTTTCTGTCACCTATTGAAGTGACCTGTTTTTCGTTTAGCACTTCAGAATCCCGAGGTGGTGGCTCTTCGGGGTGGCTTAAGTACCATCCTGAAAAATGTGATTGACTGTCAGCTGAGCCGAATAAATGAAGCTTTGATAACTACTGTTTTGCACCTCATTAATCATCCAAAGACCCGTCAGTATGTGCGAGCAGATGTAGAGTTAGAGGTGAGTTCATTTTTACTTAGTGACAGAAATTAAACAATATATTGGTAATGAAGATGTTTAATTTTCAGTTGAGATTTCACACTTGGTGTTAATGCAAAATGTCAAAGCAATTAACCTTTAAACAAAGAGCATGATTTGTAAAGAAAGAGTAATATGACAAGTTGTAGTGGGACTGATGAAAGGGCAAAATCCATTAATTGTTTTGTTACGTGAAAGTAATGCATGTCTTTCTTTTGTTTAGCGAATTTTAGCTCCTTACACAGATTTTCACTACAGGCATAACCCAGACACGGCAGAAGGACAGCTCAAGTAAGTGTTAGCGCTTCGACTTGTGTACATGGAATTGCAACTAAAATATTTTTTCTCTTAAGTGACAAAACAAACCAGGGGACTAACACTGAACTGTTTGAAGTTGAAGGCAATGGCTAGTTAGAGTAGCCATTTATAGGACGTTGCCCAGTAGCCAAGTTTGTAGAACATTGTTAGGAATTAAGAATTAAAAGATAAAATTATTCTTCTCCCATAATATTTCTTTTACCTGGTATTATTACAATCTGTGTATCTTCTAGTATAGATTTCTTTTTGTCTTAAATATTTGCAGTGTTAGTATATTTGAGTTAAATTCTGTTTGGTGGTTGTACGGTCAGGCGTGGGGGACAGTAATTAAGCCATTGTATTGTGCCTATGGTCGTGTAATAAGAGTGGTACTGCAAGGGTTTAGCATGAGACCTATGCTGTTTAGCATCTTCATCAGTTCCCTGAAGGTGAGGAAGAGGTACGCTCTCAGGAAGTTTACACATGATAGCAGACTGTGGAGCTGATAGAATAAAAAGACAGTGCTGGAATCCACAGGGATTTCAAGTAGGAAGAGTGAGCCAAAAGAACATGATGAAATTCAGCAAGGGCAAATGCAGAATCCTGTGTCTGGAAGGACATATTATGAGGTAGACTGCGAGCCTGACTAGGTGGGAAACGGTTCTAGTAGATAGAATGCCGAGGGGCATTGACAAGATCGACATTGTATTGGCCTACTTTTAAAAGTTCATAGCTAGGAAGTTGGGGGATGTCATTTTTCTTTTCAATTTGCACTTGCAAAAATTCACGTAAACCACTGGTTCTGGTTTTGGACCTCTTAGTTTAGGATAGTCAAGGAGCAGGAGCACATTGTGTGAGGGAAAGCTTAGGGAAGAACCTGTGCAAAGGTTATCAAGAAGAGATAGTCAGTGGTGCATTGTGAAGACATGAAACAGCAGAGGGAAACTGAAAAAAGAAGTTCCAACTTGAGAAGCAGATTTCTGGGAGGTTACTCAAGTATTGAAACAGACTGTTCCAGATAAATGGTACAGCCTTCATCCTTGAAAATTTCTGAGACCTGACAGGATAAAGCCCTGATTATTATTACCTGGTTTGCTCTCATAGCCAGCAGCTTCTTTTTGTAGAAAATTAGAATAGGTCACAGAAGTCGCATTCAACCTCACATATTCAATGTTCTGTGTTTGTTTTTTTAATTATTAAATGTCAGTAGATTATCAGACTGGGACAATGTCCTTAGGCCCCTGCTACAGTCTTAATATCAGTGGAGTCTTCAAAGTGAATAACACACCAAAAATAGGTGTTTAGTTTGTAATCTTTCTACTGCAAAACTCCACTGAAGAAGAAAGACACAATGATTAAAAATGGTAATCTTTGTATATGTGTACATATTCAATGAAATGTATATGCACACACAAAAATGCAAATGTACATGTGTGAAAATTTTCTTACTCTTGATTTTTGTACCCTGTCCAGAATTGCAGTTAACTACCTGCTGTGTAAGTAACACAGTTTATTTTACAGTAATTAACTGTGTCTTGTCATATTTGTTTTATGACAGAGAGGACAGAGAAGCACGGTTCCTAGCTAGTAAAATGGGAATTGTGGCAGCATTTCGATCATGGGCAGGTAAGATTTCTAATTTGTTTTATCTGTTGACTGACAAGAACTTTTCAGTGCAATGTAATGGTTTATTCAGTCACACAATCTGACAGTCTTGGTTTTTTTGTCACTTCCTTCCAGCAATGTTTTGATATTGTCAAATTTGAGGACTCCTAAACAGTTTCTTTAGACTAAACCCTATAGATAGGATGCAGCCTTATTTTCAGTTCAGAATACTGTATCAGTTGTGCCTTAATGGTGATACTTGGTATATGGTGGGTGAAAGAATATTGAAAGTAGCATTGTGTCATAAGAATTTGCCTTTGAAATTTTACTGTCAGTGTAATAAGAAATCTTTATCTATGCAAAAGTTTTCAACAGAGTAGATTGATTAGCATCTGCTTTTACTAAGTTGTGTAGTTGAAGATAAATCCCAATCTGGATGTAGTTTTGGTCCTTTTGTGTAGAAGACATTTCTGAACCCAGAAAAGTTTTTTGTATTTTTTTAAAATCCTTTCTCTGCTTTCTCTACTATCTTACGGTACTTAACATGGTAATAAGGCCTCATTCTTTTACTGAAGTCAGAGTCTTACAAATGAACTAAATCAAGTCATATGACCCCTGCAGAAATTTTGGATAGGCTTTGCACATGCTGTACTTAAGAATGATTTAGACTGTATAAAAATTGTTTTGATTGTAAGACTTTAAATTACTTGTGCTTTCAGAACTAGATGTTCTGAAAAACTGATCAGAAATCTTAACATTGAAATATCCTTTCAAAAAATATCTCACGTTTTCTTGATGCTGAGGTGCAAGTCTGGAGAGCTTATGATAACTCTGAAGATTCTACAAAGCAATTTATGTTAGGAATGTTGCTACATTTTCTCTCATTCATACAGTTAGAACTAATACCACAATTTTCTTGAAAAATTCAAGTGAGAATTGTTTTGTAATGTATTGTTTGCTGTGGTACTTTTTCAGATGCATGTTCTCTTATTTTGTTGGAGGCTAAGAGGGCATTAATGCTTGTAGTACGAAAGTGTCCTCATAATGTCATCCTTCCCAAAGGCCATGTTGCAAAAAGGACTGAACGTCTATTTGGTTTGGTTTCTGTTCTGGCTTTTCAGCTTTATTCTTCTTATTTTACCTGTCTATTCTGTCTGTGCTTTTTTGTTCTGCTTTCCTAACTCTTTGGATTGAGTTACTCTGTAGAGTTTATTACTACGTACTTTATCCTCCACTGCAGTCTTCATCTACAATTGAAACTGGGACATGCAGCAGTGACTTTGTGCACTGAAATCTATTCCTGCATTGCAGTAGGAAGGTGGCTGTCAACTACTCTTGGGAAAAAAAATGATCTCTGTGGGTACAGAGCTAGACATAAGTATTTGTGACATGGAAGTTATGAACTTGAGGATATCATTCCACATAAAGTACATCATAAAAGTTAACTAATTGTTTTTACTGAAACAATTTACCTAATTTCATTTTTTAGTACTTCCTTCTGAATTAAGATTTATTTATGTGTTCCAAGAACTGGCCCCTTTTTTATTCATGTGAAGTTATTTCTTGGATAAACTTCTTTGGTTTTAGAATAGTGTTACTGTAAGGTTTTTTCTTTTGTAACGTGAAGAAAAACAGTAAGGAAATGAGCAAGGTTGCTGTCTCAGGAGCCACATCTTGAATGAAGAGATGTAAGTATAAACTGAGGCTGAAAATCACAGTAGTGGTTAACTTCAGGTGGTATTCAATAACGTTTAAAAGCTGTTTAAGTATTCATCCTTTGAATGCTAAGAAATTAAACTTGTGTGAAAATACTGTGTAGAAGGACCAAGTATGAGAAAGGCTGTCAGATTTTATGTGAAATAAAGTTGTTTTGGAAGGTGAGTCCTTCTTATTTGGGATAAGATGACTAAAAGTGATGCATAGAGAATGTTATTCTAAATATTTAAACTTGCTTTTCAGAGTACATCTGAGATTAAAAGGAAACTAATTACTGGTTGGGTTAAGACACAATTTTTGTTGCAGAATCTGCTAATAGTTCTTTGTACATCTTCTGGCCTAAGACTGATCCTTTGTTTATGATTTTGTCTGTATGCAGTTTCTTTGTGAATATTGTTTTTGTGGAGATAACTTAAAAATACTGTTAAGATTAAAAAGAAACTATATCTCTTAGTGTTGAAATTACTAGATTTTGTTAAGCATTGATTGAAAATGAAAAATGACATAATGCTAGTGATTAGTAACTTTTGTCATCTGCACTTTTGCTCAAGCTAGAAATCACTTAATGTTGTCTAATGTCTCTTTTTTTTTGGTGAGGAAACATTGTGTATTAATTTTTTCTAGGTATTATTAGTCTGTGCAAACCTGGAAATTCTGGGATTCAGTCTCTCATTGGGGTACTTTGTATACCAAATATGGAAATACGGGTAAGTGTTAAATATTTCCTACTGGAATAGGAATATATTTGATGTTTTAGTTAATATGCTTACAATTTTTTAAAACAATTTAGTGGTCTAACAGAGAATCTAAATATGAGACCACTAGTCTTGAATTTATTTGACCCTTAAATTTCCTGTGTGATTTTTCCATGTGGTCAAGCTGCCTGCTCTTTCTGTGTCAGTGGAGTGTGAATCAAAGCTCACTCTGTCTGACAGGAGGGAATGGAGGAGGGAAAAGGGAAAAAAGTGTTAGACCTGAGCAGGCAGTAAACAAAATATTTGTATACGCAGGAATATTTTTGGCATTGGAACTGATTTACTCTTATAATCTATAATCTTACTTTCTTTCAGTTTATTTGCTTTTAGTCTTAGTCTCTTTTCTTATTTTATATATATCTTGAAATTACTCTGTATTAAAACAAATTTTAGAAACATGCTAAAATACTGTGAAATTGGTGCTGTCAAGAAAAATATACTTTCAACTACTGTTCTTGGTTTTAAGTTTAGTTCTCATTCATATTTTATGATGTTTAATTACTACATTACTATTTAATGATTTTTTTTTCATTTGATATTTAATTACTACAGACAGAGCAGGCATTAAGAGAATGTCCATCATTTCCAAGAATTCACGTTATATCAGTGTTGTGCAAGTTAATCAGTTTTTGCTTTGACAATAAGTAAAAAATAAAAAATAAAGAGTAAAATAATTTGTAAAAAATGTATGTAAAATCTGAGAAGCTTATGTTTCTCTAGATTGCAGTGACAATAAGGCACCATTGTAAAGTGAGCAGAACTTCCTTTTTTCTCCAGGTTCCTTTAGAAGACATGCTTATAATCCAAAAAACAACTCCAAATCAGTTGCTAGTTTTAGCACACTGTAAAAATCAGCTTCAGTGCTAATTTAATAGTAGAAAGTAAATGCTAATTTAATAGAGCAGAAAGGCCGTATTTTCTAAATGTATCAAATTGTTGTGCTTTTTTTCTTTGTTTTTGTTTTTTTTGGTTTTTTTGCAGCGAGGTCTGCTTGAGGTTCTCTATGACATTTTTCGTCTTCCTCTCCCTGTTGTTGCAGAAGAATTTATTGAGGCACTTCTTAGCGTAGGTAAGTATTTTGTTCACACAAGAATTCTGTCAAATTCTTCTACAAATTTGATGAACCCATTATCTTTCCCCTGGATTACAAATTATATCAGTATTAACTTTTTCATCAGTGAATTCATGAGGTATTCTGAAGTCCTGTTTAAAATCCTTTTTCAACAAATTAACAGTGTTCAAGCTACAAGTCCACTTTTTTTCTGACGTACTTCATGTGTCGAAGTTGGATATAAAATCAGTAATGAAGCATAATTGAGCATTTACACAAAAGACTGTACAATACACGTTATTAGTCTTCAAAGTGTTTGAAGCATTGGTATGTAGAAGTGTTGGCTGACACAGAAAAGTTACTCAAAAGTATCTCTGTATATTGAAAATATGCTTATTTTCCTCAGTGCACTTCAGGAAACTTACTTTTCCTAGGGTAATTGTATGTTTTCATGTCTACATTAAGAAAAGTTACTCTTTTAAGTTTAGAATTATTTATTTGCAAGCTTTAAAAACGTCCTCTACTTCTTTCTCAGAAAAATGTCAGCCTGAAGAGAGTAATTTTGAGTCTTTCATGTTCCATTATCCTCCAAATTCAAGTTACGGATGCCTGTCAAGGGCTTGATTATAGAAGCTTAATCCTTGTTCTGAACTTCACTATTAATAAATCATTATTTGTTGCACACTTGTGACTTTGCTAGATATGCATGTACATTTAAAAATGTTATAGTGTTTTCAGTTGGATAAATTTCTTGTGTTTTTGAATAGGAAAAATTATTATTTTGATATCTAAATGAAATATTTGTCCTAGCTTTGAAGTTGGCCTCACTTTGTGTAGTAGTGTGGATTGAATGAGTTGTTGAAAATCCTTTTTGAACAGAAGTTTTCTGTAGTTTCAACCCTGAGGGTACACCTGCTCATAAAAACTACTATTAAAATAACACTGAAATACAGAGCTATAATTGGCACTGGTTTTGTTTGTTTTCTTGTAGATCCAAGCAGATTTCAGGACTGCTGGAGACTGTCTGATGGCTTTGTAGCTGCTGAAGCTAAAACTATATTACCCCATAGAGCCAGGTCACGGTGGGTATTTAATAAACTCAGACTAAGCCTTTGGTTTATGGTGTACAAAAGAATTGCTTTTCTCTTGCAGAAATAATTTGTAAAAAAAAATGTTTTTTCTAAACTCTTTCCCTATGTTTTTCTCCTTAGGCCTGATCTCATGGATAATTATTTGGCTTTAGTGCTTTCAGCTTTTATTACCAATGGACTTCTAGAGGTAACTGGTGATATTAAATTGAGACAGATGCTTACTGCTTATCTCTTAAAAACATTGGAATGAGATATGATATATACATCATATATTAAACATTGTAATTATTTTTTAACTTTTTTTCCAGGGTCTTGTAGAGGTGATCACCAGTAGTGATGACCACGTGTCTGTTAGAGCAACTATCCTTTTGGGAGAACTTCTGCATATGGTAAGTAAAGTTTCTTTCTGAGAGTATTATTAGTAACTCATTGAAAGTAGTTATTTTGTTAGTAAAGATTGAAATTTGTTTGGAACTTGGAACATCCACTTTCTATCAAAGCAATAGGCTATTTTTTTATTTTGTAACACTTCATACATTAAAAACAGCATGAATTAATAGGCTGTTCATCTCCAGCTCTCACTATTTCTCCACTTTGCCTCAGTAAAGCATTGTGTTTTTAAGATAGATGTGTGCAAATTCACTTGTCTGTTACTTTGTTTGAGAATAAAACTGCTACTTGTTTTAGCTTTTCTGTATCGGTACTAGTGACAACATGCTTAGCTTTCTGCTTCACAGATGAAACTTGCACATTCAACTGGAGCACTTCTTAATATTCATTTGTGCAACTCCCAACTTGAATTAGTCTTCCCACACTGCTGTTGATAGCCTCTGAATAGCACAGAGAAGTTGAAGACATCTTGTTTCATGCCTCTTTCCTCTCTGTGTTTGAAGAAAATTTGATCTGTTTGTTCTTGCCTAGACATGATGCTTTTAAATGCACAAATGCACATGCAAGTGCTACTTTGCAGCCTGCTGAGGAACTGTTAGTCATATGTGAAGTGGTATGGTTTACATTTCTGGCCAAACAAGTGGTTTTGTTTTTCTCCACATCCTTTATTGACAGCAAGGAGAGTACACACTCTCTGTTAAGGTTTCTTGTGTATTTTTTGCGAATTTTTGTGTGTGAAGTATCTTTTGTTGTGCAAAAGTATTGAATGGACATGGTGAAATTGTATTTCTCATTTTATATGTATTTTAGTACTCTCATACACGTGACTTAAAAGGATAACTGATACTTTGAATGTTTTTGCGTGTTACCTCTTCCAGCTACCACCAATGCAAAAAAAAAAAAAGAAAAATTAAAAATTTTAAGATGGAATCCTGCAATTGTTTCAATTGTTTTTAGTTTTAATTGTTATTCAGATTTATTAATTAGATAAAATATTCAAAATTGTTCCCAGTTATTGTTGGTAATATGTGAAAAATTTTCATGGATGTGTGAAGCTCTCATGAGAAATAGTAGGTTTTTTCAAATGCTGATCCATCAGAGAAAGACAGAAATGTTATAATGTTATAATAACCAGACTTCTTTTTTTTTGTTCAGGCAAACACGATTCTCCCTCATTCTCACAGTCATCACCTGCACTGCTTACCAACGCTAATGAATATGGCAGCATCTTTTGACATCATGAAAGAGAAGAGATTGTAAGAATTCCAAGTTTCTCTAAAAACAAAAATAAATATGTCCTTTCTTGTAATTGAACAAAAAGTGCTTCACATAATTTGTTTGAGGAACGCTGGGAGAATTTCATAGATCCAGTATCTTCAAAATGTGTGTGTAAACTCAGGTTTCTTACCTGTATTTGCTTTTAGAAGACTTTTTAAAGTGTGTATGAGTGGGAATGTTTCTTTTTCTTTACATAAAAAGTTATAGAAAATCCTTCTGTTAATTTGGTCATTGCTTTTGCCATCCTGGCTTGTTTGATCAGTATTTTCATAAGTTATCTTCACATTTTGTTTTGTTGTATCATCAGTGATGATTTACAGAATCTTTGCAAACTGCTGTTGTAGAATTTTAAGTGACACTTGTAGATTGCTTCCCAGAAAGTTTCAGATTTTCTCTTTGTATTTCTAAAGATCCCTTATACCACCAAAAGATTTTGGTATGTGAAAATATTTATCAAGAAAGACATACTATTTTGTAGACAAACATGTCTATTGGGCTTAAGCCACAACACAGGCCTTTTTTTTGTTGCAAATAGTGTCAGTAGTTTGATTTAAAAAAAAACACAAACAAGTCTTTGAATAGTGACCTAACTTGAATAAAACTGAATATTAATATATGAAAAGTGCTAGGTATAATTATTATTAATATTTTTTAAAATTATGTAATTTGAGGTGAAAATTATTTCTTGGTATATACTGGTTTGAACCATTAATAGAAAAATGGCTGTTGTGTATCTTTGCCTGAAACTCAGTTTGCGGGGTATTTTGCAGGGCATTTCACTTAGAACTCTGGGAGGAAAGGAAGAGTGAAAAATACTTGTGAATTTCAGGTTTTGTACTTCTTGGCATTTATGGATCTGATAAAAGAGCAAGAAATCCTGTTTCTGTTTTAAAAATAAGATTTTGTAGTGTTATATTAGGCAGTCTAAGTTTTTGTGGACACTGCAATTTTTCAGAACATAAAAAATTGCAAACGTCTACACAGGCCTAGGTTTGTATAATTTAGGTGAAAGAATCTGCATATTTGCTTATTTGAAGATGTCAGAAATTAAGAATATTTCCTGTGCTTCGTGGGAAAGAGTGATAGGCTTACCTTCTCATGTTTACACTTTCTTCATATGCTCAGTAGTATTTTCTGCTAGCAGTATTTATTGATATGCCTGTCTTTTACTAGAAAATTTCTTACATGCTGCTGTTGAACTGTTAAGATATAAAGAAGACAGCGTACTGCTGACACTGCTGAGGCCCGCGAGTTTAGGGGTCATAAGGGAAGGAAGAGAATTGACAAGGAATGCTACTTGAGACAATTTGACTCTACTCCCTTAACTGCAGAGTGTTGATCTACTGTGACGTTTTATATACTTTTTCAGCTTTAATCTTCATGTGTTCTAGATGATCTCTGTAGATCCCTTGTAATTGAACTGTTGTATTTTTCTGTGAAGTGTGAAGGACACTGCTGGTTATAGAGTAGAAGAAAATGGGTCAAGTCTCGTTCTTCAGTAGAAATTCTGAATATTTTCTGTGTAATTTCACTGCAAGATTAAAGCACATGAATGTATGAAAACTTGCATCAAGACAAGCGTCTTTGGCTTCAGAATTGTTGGTGAAATCTTCCTTGAGCTATGCTAATTGAATTTAGTATATAGCACTAATTCTTTAGTTGGCTCTTAGTTGTCAAACACTGATTACAGTATCTTTTTTACTAGACGAGCAAGTGCTGCACTAAACTGCTTAAAACGATTTCACGAGATGAAGAAAAGAGGACCTAAACCTTACAGCCTTCATTTAGATCATATTATACAGAAAGCAATCTCAACCCATCAAAAAAGGGATCAATACCGTGTGCAGAAAGACATTGTTATTTTAAAGGTATTACCATTATTAATCTGTCAGAATTTAATTTGAAATTGTATTTTGGATACTTAAATCCCACCCCATCCTACCACCTTGCTTTTTAATTCAGAGTAATTAATATGATTTTTATAGATCGTTTCATTCAATATTTTCTTTATCTACTTGTAGATACCATGATGTGTTTTCTAGAACTTGATTGAGTGTATAATAATTTTAATGCAATTTAGGTGGCATTATGGTCTCTTGCTTTTAGATTACTACTTCCACAGTAGAACAACCCTGCAGTTTACTCTCAGGTACAAATTACTGTGTAGCAGAGGCGCTTCTGATTAGTGTACATGAAAAGTAAGTGTATCCTGTAACAATTACAGCAGTGATACAAGAAAACATTTCATGTCAATGTTGCAGGATACAGAAGAAGCACTGGTCATGAATCTGCGAGACAGCCAGGTTCTTAACCATAAGGAGAATCTTGAGTGGAACTGGAATCTGATAGGGACCATACTGAAGGTGAGCATAAAAAGATGTAATAGAATTTTTAGAAGCAGCTGTTGGAAAAAAGACTGTTTCTATTTCACATAAGAGTTTTATCGTTTATTATTAACTTCATACTATATGCCATAGTTAGCTGTTTAGATGTTTTATTAAGGGACATGGTTTAGTGGGGAAATATTGGTGATAGGTGAACATGTTCTTGGAGATCTTTTCTAACACCGATGGTTTTATGATAGTCTTCTTAATTTCAGAAAGTTCGGAAATTGATTTAATCAATACCAATATACTGTACGTACAGTGTACAGTATACTTACAACATAAATAAATAACATATAAAATAGTGTACAGTATACCAATACACAGTAAGTATAATTTGTCAACAATCTGTAAGCTGCACGAGGGGAAAAGCGCACTACTAATAAATCCACAGATGTCTTTTTAAAAGCATGTTAAATTTTATTTGGCTTTATTTGAATAGAAATAGATTTGAGATATAATGATCTTAAAGTTACCAATACTTTACACTTCTGTCTGAACTATATACAAATATTACCTTGTTCAGTTTCTTAGCATAGTTGTATGTTTGTTTATTTTCACATAGCATGAGCAGAAGGTTAATATTATACCTGGGTTAGAGGTTAAGCTTCAGATGTTTTGGCCAAGTTACTAGTAATGTGTAGACTTAACTAATGAGGACAGTTTTTTATAAAATTAAATTCACTTTGTACGACATTTAATAACAGGAAATCTTTGATAAGGAGAGCATTCATCTCTTTCTGAGGACTATCTCTTTTTTGAGCACTGAAATTCCTGGGAGCAAGAAAACTTTGAGTATTCAGTACATCATCTTAAAGATGAAGGAGCTCCTGTCATTCTGTGTAGCAAAACCATCCTTTTGTTACTCTCAGGAAATATTTTCCAACAGTCTTTGTTATAACTAGCTTGCTATAAAATGGTTGAAGTACTGACATAATCAAGCTTGCACTCAAAAACAAAGTAAAAATGAACATGCAGGGAAACTTACCACAAAATACCCAGAATATTTGTATATTTTTAAATTACAAGTTTAAATTAAACTTTTAAATTAAAAGGCTGATTGAGAAAGCAAGAATCTGTCTGCTATAAAGACCTAAAAATGTGTGTGTGTATATGTGTATATATATTTATATATAAGCATATATATATATATATAAATAGATACATTTAGGTATATGTGTATGTGTATATTTGTGTATGCATGTTTATGCATATTTGTACATACACACATATATATCAGAGTAGCTTTGCTTCACTAAATTTTGCTTGTTTACAAATTCTTATTGTAATTTAACTAACTTTATATTAGTCAGTTATTTTACTTAATATTAAGAGTATTAATCAAGAAGGTGTTCTTCAAAATATCACATTTAGCTAAGCTGTGCAATATTTTGGTAATGGATATTTTATAAGGATAACTAAGGAGCTTAGTTATAAGGACAACTAAGAGCTACTGTTTTCCTGAGCTGTTAAAGCAGAAAAGCTTCTAGGTAGAGCTGTCAGTTTCCCTACAATCTCAGATACCCTCTGCAGTGTATTTTGTAGTCTCCAGTAAAACAGATTTAAATGCCTCAAAATTAGGGACTTCTCTCTTTCACAATGAGTAGTCACAGTGCTTTCTGGTTAAGTTCTAACCACTTCAATTCTCGCTAGTGTTATCTTAATTTACATTCATGTTGTATAGTTTGTCAGAGCAGTCCATCTTTAGACTGAATGAACTGCATCCAGATTTCAGTGTTTGGAGTTTGTTATCACATATGGCTATACACCTTCCTTCCACTCTCAGTCACAACCTTATGACTGTGGAGCATCATCTTTCTTACCACCTTACTACTTCAGTCTCATGTGGTCCCTTTCTGCCTTTTACTCGCTCAACTTGCTGTTTAGATGGCTAAAAGAAGAACAGAAGCGCTGGTGGTCAGTATGGAAGAATTAAGACTTTGCCGTTGACAGGTCTGCACCCTTAGTCTGGTGCTGTGAATCCAGTGTTACTAGTATAGTCAGTTTTATTGATCATTAATTATTGTGCTGTCTTAATACTAATGTACTCATTGGAAATGTATAATTCTGTTGCTTAGATAAGAAAGAAAGGAGAGAAAAAAAGAGAAAGATCCACCAAAATTTACTTTTTGCAATCCTTTTTAGAACATCTTTCATGTATAGACAGAGGAATTTGTCTCTGGGTAGCCTTGTCTAGGGGCTGGTGAACCTGTACATAGCAGAGGGTTGGAAACTAGATGACCATTATGGTTCTTTCAACCCAGGTTATTCTATGATTCTGTGAATTTAAATAATATATTACTAGGTGATTTAAGTGAATGACAATTTTTAAAACAAATCAGATTAATAGTGATTTATTTTTTAAAAAAAGCAGTTACTGTTATGCATACTGAAATGTGTTGTTTACTTTCAGAACAGATAGTAAGGCAGTCTTATTTACCTTTCATTAGCATGTCATAGTTTGTTGTTTTCATTATAATTTTGGACTTCTGCAGATAGAATGCACCCAACAATTTCCACTTCTGTGCCAGAAAAAATATAATAGTTACTGGGGCAAGAAGTATGGCCTTTTCAATAAAATAAGGTGGTTTTATGGTTTGGTAACATTAGATTAGCATTAACATTAGCAGGGAATCTTACACTTCAAAATATTAGCTGAATGCAAAAGAAATAAGTAAATATTAGTTATTAATATTCAGCTGATGTACAAGTTTCATGTAATGCTATATTTCCTATTTTTCTAGTGGCCAAATGTAAATCTAAGGAACTATAAAGATGAACAATTGCACAGGTATGTAAAAATTATATAGACTTGCTTTGAAGAAAGGAATTGGAAAAACTGTTCTTTGATAATTTCAACAAGCTGTTCCTTGGAGATGTCACATTTCTAAAACTTAATCTGGACATAAGCAGCAAAACAGTGAATATTTAGGTTTCAGTATTTGCATTAAACAGGCAGGACTTTAGGATTTAGTAGTTTCTGTGCATACTTCATATAGCTATTCACTTAACAAGGATCATTCGAGTTTTACAAAACCCTATTTAATTTTAAACTTTATTACCTCTCTGTTATTTAAAACAGTAACGTTTCATGGCAACAATTGACAACTTTTGATGAAATAGATCTATGGTTGTGTAGTTGTACCATTACATCTGTCATCAAAATCTAAGAGAAGAATGTTTCTAGTTGCTTGTTTGTGCTGTGTGATAAAGGATTACTTGCCAAGTCTGCTGGCTTTCTAATATTGCTTCTCTAAAGGTGTGTCTGCAGTCTTGTCTATGATACCCACATCTCTACCTGCCTGCATGGGACAGTGCTATTGTGTCCTCGTTTTGCAGTGCAGTTGGGCTGCAGTTCAGTGAGAAAATTGGAAAATGTGGAGTTAAGATAGTATAAAACTTCTACAGGATTGTGAGATACATGTTTTAATGACTGTAAAATGCTGTTGCTTGTTTAATTAAAAGTAATTAAACTGCTAAACAGCTCTAGTTTCACTGCTGAGGATTTTTCCTTTAATTTTGTATTTTTGAAGACGTTTGATATATATATTTTACTGTTAGCCAGGAAATATGACAGAAACACTATTAAAGGAAAACTGCAGTTTTTTTTAATATAAATTGCCAAATTTCAGATGCACAGTTCATGCTGTGTATATACTGTTTTTATATATTTGCTCTCTTGTATAATAGGCTCATGTATAAATGTAGGTACTAATACAATACATGGCTAATAGGTAATAAATTACCCTTCATTTGAAAAAAAAAATGAAATTCTCAGATTTCATTTGTAATTGGTAACTGGGATAGTTATCTACTCTCACCTTTTTTAACTAAAGGCAGTGCTGTATAAACTTCCTTAATGTTTGATTTATCTACCTTGAGATAGAATATTGATCTTTGAAAGCACAAACATGCATTTATTTTTGTACTAATAAATGGTAGGGGGAAGCTCTGCTGAAGTTTTATTTCTGCAATGCAGAAGTGAAGTTTTTTTGAACAGTGAGTCTCTATTTGCTAGCAGGATTGCTAGCACTGTTTTGCTTCAGAAATGCTTAAGTGAGGTGAGTGAAAATACTGTTAATGAATAAATGTAGCCTTTTCCTAACAGAGCATAAGAACATATCTTTCACAGTAGCATTAATTATTATAGCTGATGAAAAGTCATGTCACACAAACATTAGGACAAATTTGCAGATACTTTGCAGATACTTTTTTTTTTTTTTTTTGGTCTTGGCACCGAATAAATTATAGCAGACTAAATTACATAAACAAGAAGTAAAAGTAAGCTGCAGTTTTTAAGAGTGTAGAGATTTTGAGATCCTTTGCGTATTTTTAGGTCATGACAGATAATCCTTTGTAACACAGAGTACAGTGACAGCTTTGAAATTATTTGGATAGACCTAGTACTGTACCTGCTACTCTCTTTTAATGGCTTCTGAAAATGTATTGCCAATAAGCAATAAGTGATAAAATACCTTTTATAGCAGCATCATTTTATACTGTTAGGAATTGCTTTTCTTACAGAAAAATAACACGTTATTTCTTACTTTCCATAGGTTTGTAAGGAGATTGTTATATTTCTATAAACCTAGCAGTAAACTTTATGCCAATCTGGATCTGGACTATGCCAAGGCTAAGCAGCTCACTGTAGTGGGTTGTCAGTTTACTGAATTTCTTCTTGAATCAGAAGAGGTAAGACATTTTCATTCACAAGGGAGAATGCATAAAACGAAAAACCCTAAATTTGAGTAAAAACTTAAGAAAACTTTTCAGCATTAAACCAAAGATGAACAACATACTTAAGAAATACGACATAAAATCCTGAATTGTCCAGATGAGACTTGGAGGAGATACCTAAGTCTGAGTTGTTTGTTTGTTGTTAAATGCATTTTCTTTAATTTTTTTATTATTATTACATTCTAGGGGGATTTTTTGTTTAGTTTTGTTGATTTTTATGTTTTTGCTGTATGTATTTGTCCTTTATGTCCTTTCCTCTGTATTGAAGGCTTATGCCTTGAGTCAGAAAAGTAGGGAAAGTATCACTGAACAGTCCTTTTCCTAGAACAACCAGAGTTGATTCTAAAATGTTTGGAACATTTTTTTTTAGTGTGACTTGTTTACCAGTCAACATTTCTATTTTGTGTCTGTATTATGCTTGTACATCTTAAGAAGCTTAAAATGGCAGATTTCAGTAAAGAGTTCAGTTTCTAGTAAATGCTTTTAATCTTTGTTTTTTTTAGGATGGACAAGGTTATCTGGAGGAGCTGGTTAAGGATATTGTTAATTGGCTCAACTCTTCATCAGGAATGAAACCTGAACGAAGTCTTCAAAATAATGGGCTACTAAATACCCTTAGTCAACACTATTTTCTGTTTTTTGGTACTCTTTCTTGTCATCCTCATGGAGTCAAAATGCTTGAAAAATGTAATGTGTTTCAGTGGTAAGTGTTCTTGTTCTGTTTGAATTGTGTTCACAAATATAATCATTACAGAACTTGTAAACTGTGTATGAGGGCTGCTATCTATAAAGCTGGAGACTTCAAAATTCTTGTGATTACATCAAGTAGAAACCACATGTTTATAGGATGGATTTTTTCTTTTTCTTTTTATATTTCTCTTGGTGGTGGGGAGGTGAAAGGATTTGTTTCTATTTTGTCTTCTTGGTTGTTTCTTTTTAAGATAACGAAATCCATACGGTTTTACAGTGTTTTAGAATGAAGATTGTTAACGGTTCTTCATAAGCATTTATTTTTGTAATAATCACTAGTTTAGATGTGCTGACAAAACTACTACAGAACCATTTTAAAAGCATTTTTTTTTCTCTTGCCATTTAGTGCTTTATTCTTCCCCCCCTTCAACAGTTTGAATAGTTTAAAGTCACTTCATAGGAACCTGCTTTGAATTCTTTATTTATAGAAATAAAGGTTTATTCAGAAGGCTAAGTTGAAATTGTTAATTGAATAAGTGGATATTATTGGATTCAATTACTGATATTTTCTTTTTCTCCTGCCAGTCTTCTTAATCTTTGTTCTTTGAAGAACCAAGATCATTTGTTAAAACTGACTGTTTCTAGTTTGGATTACAGCAGAGATGGCTTAGCAAGAGTCATCCTGTCTAAAATTCTGACAGCAGCTACGGATGTAAGTGCTATTCAATTGATGTACCTTTTCTATTTGCCTCTTTATTATCCAAGATTGTAACATTTTTAAGATGTTGTATAAATTCAGAAGAGCTTTTGTATTTAGTAAAATGAAAGTCATATTCATGTAGCTCTTGTATTTACAATGGACTTTATACCTTCTCCTGCATTTGCGCTCAGTACTTAAAGTCATTCAAACAGATATTTCATACCTGAAGAGAATTATTTTTTAAATGTTCATACCAAGGGGAACAAACCTGATGAAAATGAAGTTAAGAAATATTGAAAAAATTAGAGCTTGAATCTTCGTGCTATGATAATACTAGGAAAAAAAAAAGGAAAATATACTTTTTGAACCCCTTAAATAGTGAAACTTCCTTTATTGATCTCTTGAACATTGGATAATGAAAAGCATTTTGTTTCCTGATTAGCTGGCCTACTTGGAATTCTTAGAATTCAAATGGACTTTGTTTTTTTTGATCTGAGAGAGGCAAAACACAAATAAAACGGACTATCTCATCTGGAAGAAATGGATTCTGTCAACCACACATAATTTCATACATCAATAATTAACTTCCTTAAACTCTTTTCCTGCTTTCTGTGTGCCTAGCACATGCATTCTTACGGCAGTAACTGAACTGTTGGAGTTTTGAGAAGAAAATTTCACTGAATTCTGCTTGACTGAAAAGCAAAATGTGAACTTGTTGAAGTATTGTTTGGCAATACTGGTATACATATGTTGTCAATACCATCTCTTAATATTTGGATCTAGCAATTTTGTCTGATTTCTTTGATTATTTTGAATCAGTTGAATTAACTGTATTTTAGTGGTATAGGCCATATTTTTGAGCTTTTGTAATTGCAAGACTGTAAGTCTCATCCAGAAACTCGAAGGAGTAGTCTGGTCTGGGAGAATAAGATAATTCAAAAGAATAAGGAAAATATTGAAGTGACATGCTTGCGTGAGTTGTTCCATTAACTGAAGAGTAATTTGAAAGTAAATCTTTATCAGGTGTTAGGGGAGGTATTTGCCATTTTATGGATTTTATTATGTAGAACTCTGAAACACTGTCCAAGATAGAGCACTCCTTTTGTATTTAGAGAGCATGATAGGGAGAAATCGAAACTTGTTCCACTTCATACTTCTCACTCTTCAGAACCATAGGGAGAATATATATATTCTAGCTATACTAGCAATCTGCTGTCTTGGACAGGCAATTAATTAAAAACATCCAGTTCAAATAAGGCAATTACATGCTCTTCCACGTTGCCCATTTAAGAATTTCTGATGAGAACATGAAAGAATGAGTACAGCCTGTGTAGCAAATAAACAAATGCCTGTGGAAGGATTTCTCTTTTATAGTCCATACATTAGATTGTGATTTTGTTTTTGTGCTGTCTCTTGCTTCTAAATTAGATTCAACAAGGCATGGAACTGAGCGTAATTTATAAAAAGCTCTTTGTAAGAGTTAAAGACAATTTCCAATAATGCTTCTTCTCTTTCAAATTCTATTTCTCTGAGATGTTATCAATGAAATATTTCTCATTTCATGAGCTAAAGATGCTCTTTTTCTTGCTTTAACTGAATATGTATAGATTAGACTTAGAAGGGATGTGGAAATACTAAATCCAACAGCCTGACCTCTTTGGGGCTAACCTGAGGTTATACTGAGGGCGTTACCCAACCAAAATGCTTCTTGAATTCTGGCAGACATAACGTATCAACCAGATTTCTAGGAAGCTAGTTGCATTGTTACCCTGGAATTTGTTGCTATGTCCAGTCTGAATCTCCCCTGGCACAGCTCTGTGCCATTCCTGTCCTGCCAGTGGTCTTCAGGAGAGAGTCTGGCACCTCCCTATTTCCTTTCCTCAGGGAGCTGGATTGAGCAGTGAGGTTACCTCTTGGCCACCTCCAGACTGGACAGCTTGAGTGCCCTTAGCCTCTCCACCAAAAAGATAAATATATATTGAATAAGTAAAAATGTGCAAGTATTTGAAGATGAAATAATGAAACAAGACTTACAGTTCATACTTAGTTTTTTGTGAAATCCCATTTACCAAGTATTTCAGGAGGAAGAGAACAGATCGTTCCAGAAGACAACTTACTTAGTGTCCAGTCTGGACCAATTCACTTGTCTCTGATAGTACAGATTCACTTGTCTCTGATAGTACAGATACTAACATATCTCCCCAGTATAGATCCTCTATATTTTAACAAATAGAAAATTTACTAGGTTAGAGGTATCATAGCCTTGGAAGTATAAGAACACTAGAGACGTTAAGTAAGATTTGACAGTGACTGAGTTACTTATGATCTCAGGCTCAAATTTATTGTTTGAATATAGTTCTGTAATGGACTATAGTTTTAATACTATAAGGTGGTCAGTACAGTTATTTTATGTAAAATACGGTGATTGAAAATGTATTTTCAAAAGTGAAGTAAAAAAAGTAAATCATTAAAGGCATTGACTATCTTTCTTCCATTCAAAAAAACATTTATTTTCCTTGCTTTTGCAGAGCTGCAGGCTGTATGCAACAAAACACTTACGAGTATTACTGAGGGCAAATGTAGAGTTCTTCAGTAACTGGGGGATTGAGTTACTGGTGACCCAGCTACATGACAAAAATAAAACTATTTCTTCTGAGGCACTTGATATTCTAGATGAGGCATGTGAAGACAAGGTGAGCATCTTTTCCCTTTTTCATCTCCCTGTGGTAAGCAACTCTATGCTGTTTACCCTCCCTCCAGTTACAGAGGAGAAGTTCAGGAAGCTACTCATGCTTTGCTCTCTTGATTGTCCTTGATAGTCTTAGTAATACTCTTTTCTTCATCATGTGGTTTATAAACTGCACTGTTAATAGCAATAAGAAGTAGATTTTGCTTACTATAAATATTTACTCAGTCTTAATGTATTTTATCATTATAGTCTTTTTAGAAGAATTACATATGTTATGACAAAAGTGGATGATATAAGAATGAGTGCTGTTTGATAGTTCCTTGTATGAAAACTTCACAGCATCATTACTGGCAGGTTATTGTAATTGTAGTTTTTAGAATGTTATAATGCTCTGATATAACTTGCACATTTTTAATTATCTTAGGCCAATCTTCATGCCCTTATCCAAATGAAACCAGCTCTATCTCACCTTGGAGACAAGGGTTTGCTTCTACTCTTGAGGTAAATGTATTGAGTATGCTGTTGAAATTCACACTGTGGAAGTCATAAGCATTTGGTTTTTATTCATATTATGTGATTGAAGTTTGGTATTGATGGTCTGCTGTTGCTTTGCAGGTTTCTGTCCATTCCAAAGGGGTTTTCATATCTGAATGAAAGAGGTTACGTAACAAAGCAAATGGAAAAATGGCAAAAGGTAATATGAAGAATAAAAATGTGTGTTCACTTGGAATTAGAAAGAGATAACGTATAAGAACACACCTGAGAGGGCTAAAATGTAATTTAAAATATTGTAGATTTACATATGCATTACTAATGCCAATACATGTATTCCCTCAGTGGCTTAAGAATTTGCTGATAAAGCTTGACAGCTTGGTCTTAGAGTTGTTTAACTCCTCTGTTGATATGTACTCTTTTAGCCAGGGCTTTCATGTAGTTTTGCTTCTCTAGCTAATACACTGAGAGTAATGACTTTCCAAAATAGGTTGTTATAAGAAATGTGGAAAGGAATACTGCTTTTCAAGATGTGTGTCAACACTGATAATAGGTAATTAAAGTTATGTCCAAAACTCATGAAGATGGAGTTAGCCTATGCTGTTAGGAAGTGGATAGGAACACACGATGCATTCAAAATAAAAAAAATATGAAAGTGTGCTCTGAAGTGTGCTCTGAAAGTAATGCCTCCTATTTTATTACGCTGTTCCACAGTGTCAGAGGCAGGTAGGTGGTGGTGATATGGCAGTAGAGGTAGGTTGAGTCTTCCCAGCAGTGTCCTGTTGTGCTTCGTTGCTTTGCAACAGATGGCAGCAGAGAGGCAGTCTGTCAAAATGGCATCTGACATGGAAGTACATAGGAAGCAAAGGTGTGTCACTGAACTTGTCCATGTGGGAAAAATTGCACCTATTGACATTCATTCACACTTGTGGAACATTTGTGGAGACCAAACACTGGATGTTAGCATGGTGAGACACACAGCAGTGGCTGGTGTGTTACTGCAGTGTTGGCAGGGATGTGAAAGAAAAACTGTTTTCCTCATGGCCTTGCACAGCTGTTACACCACAGAATGGGAATTAGCTAATGGTGGTGGCTATGTTGAAAAATAGTATTTTGTAGCTGAGAACGTGTTCTTTGTGTATGTTGTAGTTTCCATGAAAATAAACAAGAGGCATTACTTTTACAATAAAATTCATACATTGTTGGTAGACTAAAAGTAGTATTCATGTATTACTTTGTTTTTACAATTTTTACGTTTATTTTCTTGAGGTAGTAGTTAATCATTTTGTTAATAGTCACAATTATATGAGCTGTTAAATGATTTTTTGACTAATTTATAAACAGTATTAGGTATACTGAAATGTACTGTGGTCTGTTTAGATTTTTCAGGTTAAAGTCAAATGTGAAATGTTTCTTTCCTTCCTTTTAACAATTTTTCTGAAATAGTTATGGAATCAGTTCTTGATTTTCTGTGAAGTCGTATGAGTGAAACATGGTTATTTTGGAGAACACCATGTTCAGATCATAAAGAAACTCAGCCTTAATTAACAAGCACTGATGTTTCTTCTTTATAAAGTACCGTACGATAAAAAATAAACTACCTAAATGTATTATGTCAAACATTGCCTTCTTTTAGGAGTACAACTTAAAGTATGTTGAGTTGATTGAAGAACAACTAAATGAAGCACTTACAACGTATCGCAAACCTGTTGATGGTGATAACTATGTTCGTAGGAGCAACCAAAGGTAAACACTGTCCACAAGAATCTTCATCTGAAAAAAAAATATTGCGTAACTCACTTCAGTGTAATTTATTGTAATAGATAATTTCAAAATTGCTGGGAAAGCGTTTTGTTTTTTTCTTTTTTTCCCACCAGATTACAGCGACCACATGTCTACCTGCCAGTTCACCTGTATGGCCAACTGGTGCACCATAAAACAGGCTGCCATTTATTGGAGTCTCAGGTGAGAATTGTAATGATTTATAGCTTGAAGGATTTTAGTGGACAGCATCCCTTTTTTAAGGAATATGTTTTGAGAGATGTCAGTTAAATAGTGACTACAAAATAAGTAGGTTGTAAATCTGAAATGTTATGGAGCCATAATTTTGTGAAGACAACCTTTCCATCCAGATTCATGTAAAATTCTTTCCTTACAGTATTTTTTTTAAAATGATCAGTAAAAAAAAAAAAAAAACAGTGGGAAGCAAATTGCTAGTTGTAGTATATTTTAGTGCCTATTTTAGTGGCAAAATTGTGCCTGTCCTTCCATGTGTATCAAAGCATGGAGGCGAGGTAATAAAATGTTCTTTCTGTTAACTTGAAATTCTCAGAAATGCTAAAAAAGCTGTTTAGTTATTGTTTGAAATGATTTTTAAAGTGAATTTTAAAAAAAGAGATGAATTGTGTTGAAATTTGAAAAATTTTGGAGTGCCTATATTGTAGAGTATTAAGCGGAAGAAATTTGCCTTTATAAAATCTGAGATAATCTGATTCATTCAGAGGTGATATTAATTGTTTTTAGCTACATTACCATTCCTCTTAACTTGCGCTTATTATGCCAGGGCTACAGCTGTTCACAGTGAGATGCAGTTTTAGCAAACATAAAGCACTAATTTAAAAGTATGTAAGATAACTTCTTCAACTGAAATGTCCTTCCCATTTTCAACTGAATATTTTTTCTTCTTTCTTTCTCTTTTAGAGTATTGTTACAGATCTGAGTTACACTGTTCGTTCCCCAATGCTGGATAAGTGGGAAGGAATCAAGCAGCTGAAAGCAGCCCTTTGGGCCTTGGTTAGTTACAGATTTACAACCTTTTTACAGCAGTTTGGGTTCTTTCACAACTTTTGATTCTGAAGTAACTGAACAAAATCCTTTAAAACCATTGTTTATGAATTCTTCTCAAAAATTTGTGCTTCTTCCCTCTCAGTTGATTTTTTAATATATCATAACTGGAATATCACATGAAGTTTGTTTACTATGTCTGTTTTGTCTAAGCTTTATTGTAATTGCTTTGACTATTATTACTGTTTTTACATATAAAAAAAGAATAAATTTCAACATGTGGTGACAGTGTTAATATGGAATCAGATGTTTCAACCTGCTGTGTTCCAAAATATAATGTTTCTACAGGAAAGCTTGCTGCCATTGCTGAGGTTTGTGAATATAGTCTTAGCAACTCTGATACTGGGGATAACACTGAGTAAAACCTAGTGTCTTTGCCTATCCAAGCTATAATTCTAAAGCTGCTTAATCACCTTAATTGTTCACTTACCTCTTTCCTATCTTCCTTAAATTTTCTTTTGTAACAGTCATGATCAAATGTGTAATAATATAAAAAATGCTTATTTAACGGGCAAGTAAAATAAGTAAACTAAGATCTTACTGCTGGCTGTAGTAGAATTAGTAGCCTGAGGAGTGTGTACTAGCTAGCTGTTAGCAGTTTTAGTTGTTGTATCCTATTGTCCTTTACTGGATTTGCTTGACTAAGATCAAAAAGGAGAGAGAAGCTGCTTAAATTTTCTAAAACCTTTGTAGAAACCATACCACTGACAAAAGTGTTGAGGGCTTTTTTTTACTGGTGTTGCAGGTCACGTCAAAGTCAAAACTTTTTTGACAAACCATTTTATTCCAGGGTAACATTGGATCATCAAACTGGGGTCTTAACTTGCTTCAAGAGGAGAATGTAATTCCGGATATAATGGCACTTGCCCAACATTGTGAGGTTCTCTCCGTTAGAGGGTACGTGTATTTAATTATTAAACAAAATTTTTAGAATACAGGCGCAGAAGGTTCTCAGATACTCTTGATTCATTCATGTAGATGTATTTTTGCCACTTGAAAGTCAGTTTGAAATCAGTTATTAAGGGTTATTAATAACAGATTTTGAGAAAGTTCTCAAAATTATATACAAGTTCAAAAGTATAAACAGTAGGCAAATGGGAAAAAAAAAAAAGTACTTTCTGTCTCTTTTAAAAAGCAGTTAAAGCGTATATAGGTCCTCTCTGGAATCACTTTACTATTCCATCATTTATATTCAGCATCTTTCAAATTCTTAAAAGAGAATATCATTGAAAGGATGTTCTTTTGCCTAATTGTGCAGCTTTGTTCATGTTCTACTTTGAGTTTTTTGTTGTAGTTGTTTTATTTTTGGATGGTAGATGTTTTTTAAATGAATTTCAGATATTTTAATTCATTTTTTAGTTTTCTGTTTATTTCCAAATGAAAATTGGGAACAAAAACTTTGTGAAGTTTCTACTGAATTGTTTTGAAAGTGTTTCCTTACAAAAAAGTAAAAAAGGTTTAGTTGAAGTTGATGCTATTGTTGCTTTTTTCTCTATGTATGTATTAAATACAGAACCTGTGTCTACGTGCTTGGTCTAATAGCCAAAACTAAACAAGGATGTGACATTTTGAAGCATCATAACTGGGATGCAGTAAGACATAGTCGTAGACAGCCTTGGCCGGTGGTTCCTGATGACATGGAGCAGCTCTGCAATGAACTTTCTTCTATACCCAGCACTCTTAGCTTAAACTCTGAGTCCACCAGTTCTAGGCATAACAGTGAAAGCGAATCTGCACCTTCCAGTAAGTGTAAAAAAAAAAAAAATCAAACCAGAAAGCAAAACAAATGTTTCATTGTTTCACTCTTTTGCAAGGGTGATGTTAGGTAAGTAGTTTATAAGTGATATCAGCAAGGAAGAAGAGTGAAAGCATGGAGGTGATTCTGCTTTCAGAGAGATAAATAAGTGAGAAGAAAAGAGTAGTACTTCAGAATTATATTTAATGTAGAGGTAAGAAACTTTAACATTAGGCTAAGCTAGTAATTCATAGTCAAGTCTTGGCAGCTTGATGTAGTACCCTACAGAAAAGCGCATGCTCTAGATGTACATTAACTTGCTTTTCCTCCAACGAATATCTAGAAATAAATAGATACACACATAGCATTGTTGTATTTTGTCTATAGTGTTACTGATATTTTGAATTTGAATCCAGATATATACCATATTTAGATGCCATTAAAGGAGTGTACCACTTGTAATCTTAGTAGCTGGATGTATGCACTGAAGTAAGATAGCATGGCTTTTCTTTTAAAACAAAGAAAATTTTAGCATGGGTGTTCCTGAAGTTAGTTAATTCACCGTACTAAGTTCTGAAGAAAAAAAGGTTCAGTTGAACATAACGATAAGCCACATACGCAACAATTTTAGCTTTGTTCAGGAACTTGTTTTTTCATGACTTACTTGATGCACATTGTCCTTTTTCATCAACAAGTCTCTCATGATTTCAGGTATGTTCATCATGGAGGATGATCGTTTTGGTAGTACTTCCACTAGTACATTTTTCCTAGATATTACAGAAGATGGAGAACAAATATTTTACGACAGACCTGGGCCTTCAAAGGAGAAAGACCGTAGTCCTTTTCCCTTTTTTTCATCAAGCAGAATTGTGAAAAATCGCATTCTAAACTCTCTTACTCTACCTAATAAAAAACACAGAAGTAGCAGTGATCCAAAAGGAGGAAAGCTGACATCATCTGACAGTAAATCAAGCCTGAGGCGAAATCGTACCGTAACAGAGCCTTCCTTAGACTTTCCTTCTGGAGAGGAATTCAACCCTGTTTTCAGAGTTCCAAAAATTCAGACTTTACCAACAGAAACTTCCATGTGCTTACTTCCAACAAAAGAGGATACTGATAGTACCCCAAGTATTGGAGAAAATGATTTGAAGCTGCCGAAAGGTCTTGGAAATGAAATTCACCGAGAAAACACAAGCAGAGAAAGGCTAATAGGGGATGGTACTACACAAACACATTTCAAGAGTCGTAGTTTAAGTTTTAATACGGATACAACAACAAGTGGCATAAGTTCAATGAGTTCTAGCCCTTCAAGGGAGACTGTAGGTGTGGACAGTACAAATGTAGACACTGACTGTGGAAGTTTGAGTACTGTGGTAAGCACAAAAACAGTTAAACCTAGTCACTGTTCGACACCACAGTCTAACCATCTGCCTCTCTCAAAATCAAACTCTGTGTCTCTGGTACCACCGGGGTCTTCTCATACACTTCCTCGGAGAGCCCAGTCTCTTAAAGCTCCTTCTCTTGCTACAATAAAAAGTCTTGCTGACTATAATTTCAGCTACACAAGTTCTCGAGATGCCTTTGGTTATGCTACACTAAAACGCTTGCAGCAACAGAGGATGCATCCTTCACTGTCTCATTCAGAAGCTTTAGCATCTCCAGCAAAGGACGTGCTTTTTACTGACACTATTACCATGAAGTCTGGCAGCCTGGATTCTCGGCTAACCCCAAGCCGGTAAGAAATTATTCTGTATTTATTCTTTCTTCAAAGCTGGGAGAGCAATAGAATAAGAAATGTGTTGTTCTGATATTTTTTCCAAAGTAATCTGAAAGTGACAGTTGCTATAGCATCCTTTAGCATACTTTAGTGCTGATATTAGGAGTGCAGTAAGCTAATGAGAAGTTTTATATTTGTAAGTGCTCTAAGGGAAGCCCAACTTTCACAGCTGTCTCACTCTTTTAAATGCTGTTGGTAACAAAGGAGTTTTCTTCCATCATTCTTGTTTTCTGTTTGACTGTCATGATTTAAATGCAATTACATGACTTGTTTGAAGTTGCAGTTGCATAACATTGCCTATGCAGTCAGAGCTGTATTTCAGAAGATAATTTTCTTAATGTCACTTGGTAAGGTTTTAGGACAGCATGTCCTGCCAATACAACATACTCAAGTTCATTGTGACATTGAGGCCAGAGGTGAAATACTGTTGCCAGTGATGTTAGTGTGCAGAACAGAGGAAAGATTTTACTCATTGGGCTTGTTTTTAGACTGTAATGTTATCTCCTTTGATTTTGGATGATATTAGATGTTCTGAAAACGAATTGGTTATATAAGATATCTAACTCATAACATTGACACTGTTTCCAACAGCTACAGTCAGTGCTTAACAACTTTCTGCTTCTCAAATTTTTGTCCTTTAAGATCTGTTTTAACTAATGGGTTGGATTTTGAAGTAATCATTGGAAGGAAAAATACACGTTCTATCATTTACTTTTCCTAAACATCCTTTCTCACAGGAATGAAATGGGGGAAGTTATATTAGTCACCTCCTGATTGCACAGAATTGCAATTACATTCCACACAACCAGCTGTGTGTAAATTACATCTGCTTGTTACTGTTAATTTTCGTCTTGATTAAGAATAATATTAATATGTTGATATTTTCAGAAGATTCTGCAGAAATGTCATAGAAGGGTTTTGTTACCTTTGATCATTTAAGTTAGAAGTAAACTGAGTATGATTCTGAGGATGATTCAGTAGTTAAGATGTGCCATCCTGGCAAACAGAAAGTGCTGTTCTTTGCTCTGTTACTGGCATCCTGTGTAAAATAGGAACAAGTCAGTGCAGTATCAGTGGCTTAACAAATTCTGTTGTTGCTGTGGTCATGCTGCACCATTCCTTGCATTCATGCATTTGATCTGCAAAGTGAGCCTTGCTGAGGTGGACTTCCATCTTGAGACTCGGCATGAAATGTAATACTTAACAGTATTCCTAACATAGAACTGCAGTGATTGAAGTGCTCATCTAAGAAAGTTGAAAACTAGAGTGGCATATTATGAAAGGTTGTTGGATCGTCTTGGTTACTGATATAATTGATTAGAGAGGTTGGTCTATTCAATTTCTGCATATGTTACTGCTTCCAGTTAAATAAACTGTCCTGAACTTCTCTTTAAGTAAAATGGGAAGAGATATTCTGTCCTGTTTGTCTTCCAAGGCCAAGAAGCAGTCATTTGACTTTGGTGATCTTTTTAGCTGGTTGGTTCTGTCAAAAGGTCAACAAGCTTATTTCTTTAGCCTCGCAAAATAATGTATACAAATTTTCCACCTCAATCTTTAAAGACAAATAAGAAATATTAAGGTGTTTATCTCAACTCCTGCTGTGCTCTCCTGCTATTACCTACATGCACGATTTGCCAGGATAAGCAAAGGCAAATAATTACAGTTTATACTTTTTTGTAATTTTAAACTGAAAGCAATTATAGAACATTTTATTGTGAAATAAAATCTGCAATTGTTAACTAATTTGGGTTTTCAAGTATGGCTTGAGACTTAGTGCAGTTCTGCCATATACTGTATTTAGCATTTGTAAGAATTCGTCAGTAGTTGTCAGTATAGGAAGAGTAGCGATGTCCTCATAGTCTTTCATTCACTTGGCCATTACATAAACTTCACGTGATCAAAACACAATGGTTTGTTTTGATTTCAGTGTAAATTTGTTACAGTCTTACAATCCTTAGCAGCTCAGTTGTCCACCTAAACAACAGCAACAACCAAAGACCTGCAACAATTACAGGAAACAATTTCCAGGACAGAAAGTCCGTTTCAAAAAATCAAATGTTCACGACACACTAGCTCCTGATGTGTAATAATCTGCAGCCATCTAAGAAAAACTGTTCCTGAGAAATGTGTGTCTTTTGATGTTCAGAACACATTGCCACGCTTGAAGCTTCTTACTCTTGAAGCTCTTACCTCAAAAGTCTCTCCGCCACTCTTGGCTATGTTTGAATGATAAATAGCATTGGGTTTTATTTTCATACCAGGTCTCCTTAATCAAGCTGTGCTCGTGTGGACAATTTCTTGATCGCTACACGCAATCTCTTTCAGTCTAATGTAGTAACGTATGTGTGTTAAATAAGGCATTGATTCTGGTGAACAAACACAGTTTTTCTGATTATGCTGTGATACCGTTACGATGTTACACCATCAGGCAAATCAGCACCTCATGGATGCTCACTGACTGGAATGGGAAGAGAATCAAGTAAAAGTGCAAGAAGTTCAGGGATAAGTTAAAGACAGTGCACAGATAAAGCAGAAGCCCTAGTGTAAGCAAAGCACAATGAGGAATTTATTGACCCCTTCCCATCAGCAGGTGGGCATTCAGCCACTGCCGGGACAGCAGAGCTCCACGCGTGCAGCAACTGTCACAAATATGAATGCTATCACTCCAAACATTCCCTCAGCCCTTTTTCCTTTTTCTTTCCTTCAGCTTTTATTGCTCAGCGTGACATTGTATGGTATGGAACATCTGTTTGCCTTGTTTAGTCAGCTGTTCTGGTTCTGTTCTGTTCCAGCACCCTGCATTGCCTCAGCCCCTTGCTGGCAGGGCAGGGTGAGAAGCTGTCCTTGGCTCTGCTCAGCAGCAACTGAAACATTGATGTTTTTATCAAATGTCCAAAGCATTTAACTCTACACAAGCCAAAACCATGGCAGCAATGTAATCCTTTTTACGGCTCTGCATAGTAATTGGCAGTTTTTTTAGTACTTGTATCTTCTTAACCTTTTCTGTTTTTTTTTACGTAAACCTAAATACGACTTTCTAGGTGTGGATTTTTTTTTTCCTTTAATTTCGTTTTGAAGAAGAACAGTGATGAAAGAATGAAGCAGTCTTGTCGTAGTAGATAAGCTCTTGTGCAGTTATTGTGGAATAGCAGGTTTTATTCCATTGTGTAGGCAGTCTGCTTTTGCTTGATTTGAAGAAAGCATTTATAGGTTTATAATTTCAATTAAATGAAATAAAATAGAATTTTATAAATAAAATGAGAGGTGGCCAAATGAGATTTTCATCTTCAAGACTAATAGCAGCACTAGGGCATGTTCTCCAACCTCTGATCTCCCATCTCATTTTTCCAACCTATTTCTCTCTTCCTCAGATTGCTCGTCACAGTCAGCACTGCTCACTGTGTAGCTTCACATTTGTTCTTTGTTCTTTCATCAGTTGAGCAAATTCTTCTTCCACACGAAGATGTCCTTGGAGTATAGGAAGTGTTCCATCTCTGGTTCCTAGCAAGTCCAGGCTTTGCATTTGCAGTAATCTGCCTGAGATTTGAATTTGTGAATAATCATTGTGTCAGTACATTTTGTGTACAGAATACTCAAATATGTACTCAAATATGAGACTTCTAGCAGTTTAAAAGCTGAAATCTGCACTGATTTGTGTCTGGGCTGTATATTTTCAGACTTAAGTTGAATAAAACTTGTGCTTTTATAGCGTTGGCAGCCAATTAAGCAGAAGCTTTATCCAACTATTTTTCAAGTCCATGTCCTAGGGCTTCGAAAGAGATCACAAATTTTTCCCTGTGAACTGCAAAGAAAGGCACGGTGACAGTATGCAGAACAGAAACAAATATGTAGTTACAGGAGAAACAAGCTCTGGATTCTACAAAGGAAAAATTAGGGTAGTCTTTGTGACTGCAGCCCTTCTTATTTGTAATGTGCAAGGATGACAGATTTACTAAGACTGCAATTTGTTTATTGTTACAGATTCATGAAAGCTTTAAGTTATGCTTCGTTAGATAAGGAAGATTTATTAAGTCCTATTAACCAAAACACACTTCAGCGTTCTTCCTCTGTTCGTTCCATGGTTTCTAATGCTACGTATGGAAGCTCTGATGATTACATTGGCCTTGCTCTCCCAGTGGATATCAATGAAATATTTCAGGTATGTATGTGATGCTATAAATGGGTTCATTTGCATTTCTTAATGAAAGGTAGTGAATTGTTACATTTGCATCAGAGCACAGTAGATCTACAGAAAGGAGGTAAACAGTATGTTGCACATCCAAGGAATGTATTATGGAAATATTCAAGACTGACTTGGATATCTGTGCCTGCAACCTGCTGTAGGGAAACTGCTTTGGTGGGGGATTGGACTTGATATGTAAAGGTCCTTTCCAACTCCTTTGATTCTGTGGTTGTCTCTGTGTCTTGCCAGTTGTCTTCTATCTGTTTAGTTAAAACACATTGCAGTGTAACATACTGATAACTCACATAGTTTAATAATCAGTTATGTAATTATCAGAGAGGATATGATCTACGTCAAACATTAATCTGTGGCTTTCTTACCTTTAATTTACTTAGTCTTTGCATTTAAGACCTCCTTCCTTTATCAGAAATAACTAAAGCAAAGGCATGATCTCCTGTACTACTTTTCTGTTCTCCTTTGTGTGATTGCTTTGTTTTTCTTTTCTTCATGATCTTTATGGTATATCTGTGCTGCTTCACTTCTTCTCGTTCATCTCTACATCTCACAGGCCATCACTATGTATTTTCCACTTAGTGATTTTTTTATAAGCCTTTGTGTTTATTCAGAATCTGTTTTCTTGCTTTCATTGGCTTGACTTTAGTACTCTTATTAGGTCTTTCTGTTGTAGTTATCTTCACAAAATCTGTTCTTCTTTGGGTATAAAATTGTTCAACTGTGCAAAATTTGATTATTTCTGGAATGTTCCAGGTAAAAGAGACTCCATATTTCCAGAAGAAAACTACACCTCCATTTGATGACCATGGAGCAAGAGTTTTTGCACCTGAGGCAGGAGGTATGTTTTTTCTCTTTTGTAACTTCCTGTTTTTGTTTTTATTTATGTTGGTTGAGTTTAATTGTTTGGTTTGGTTTTTTTGTCTGTTTACAGAAAAGGTTATTATTAGTTGTTGAGCATTGACAGCTATGTTCTGGATTTTAGGATAGTAGATGATTAATTCTTTTTTTTTTTTTTTTGATCCACTACAAAGAAACGTAGTGTAATTTCAGCATGAACTACATCCACCAGTTCATTGTAATGTGATGAACTAATGCTAGCTGTTGATGGGTTGTGATAGTGCATTTAAAAAAGAAAACTATTCAAGCTTACATATATGTGTGTGTGTGTATAAAGTATATATATTTAAGCTAATGTTTATATATATAAAAACAATATTTATATATATATATAAATGCTATGTGGAAATTTTACTCTTAATATATGAATTTATAGGAACTAATAAATGGAGTAGGTGTTTATTTCAGAAGTAAATTGTATCTTTCTGTGATGTTTCTGTAACAGTTGATCATTGGAGGTGATGGGACATGGTACAAAAGAATTGCCAGTGCTTTACAAATGCCTGACTTTTTCTGGAAAGCACTTTCAAGAGCAATTGCAAGTCTGTAGGGCATCAATATGTGGTGTTGGTTTTTTTTTGTTTGTTTTGTTTAGTTTCAGTAGGACAGTTCAAAACGTAGATACTGGTTCCAGAGTAGTGTAGTATAGCTGTTGTCTTGTTTCTCAATTACTGGAACCTTATTACAGGCACTTGAGGAGACAGATAAACACATCCTACTTACTCCTTGTCTTTCATGATTGTAGTGTAATGTATAACTCTGATTTTCCTGAAGGAGTGTTGCAGTGGTTTGCTAAGTTGCAGTATACTTGGTTTATAACTTACTTGTTCATATATTCTATCCAAGGAATAGCTCTAAAGACTTTGTCCTTTTCCTTCAGTAAGTTTAGTTTCTTTATGTCGAGCAAGGTTCTTAAAATGGTTTCTATTTTCATTTGTGAATATACAACGTATACTTTGGATATATTGTATTAATCTTGTTGGATGTTATGAAAATTTGTAACATATTGGTGTTAGGGTGTTAGTTTTCTCTATCGATGTACTTTTTGGAATTAACTGCATGCCTTGTGTATGTTTAGAGATTTAATTCAGTCCTTTGCAATGCTGTGTTATGTTTGGTAAGCTGCGGCTAAAGCTTGATGTTTATTTCTAGAATTTTAACAGATTTTAGGAGTTTAAAATAATAAAATAAAAACTAAAAAATTATTAGATCCTCCCTTAGCTTTAGAATAAGAAATTTATTTAAAATTGTGTTGTATTAACTGACAGTCTTGTTGTACTGGTTTTTACTTGCTTATCTACAGGTCTTCCATCAGGCACTAGTGACTCTGTCAAAAGTCCTTTTCAGATGCTCCGACAGCAGATCAGTCTCACAGAAATAATGAATACCAGCCGTTCAGATGCCTCTCAGTTTTTAGAAAATACAGAGGATACTGGATTACAGGAACACACAGATGAGAACTGCCTTTATTGTGTCTGCATTCAAGTTTTGGGTTATCAGCCTAATAACAAAGTGAACTCTTCATATAATCGTACAGGTCTGTGTTCCTTATGGGGATGTGTGATAAAACTGAATGAGAATGCTGGATTTTATTCATTTTTAAGTCATGGGTCTTTAGTTTTTTTCTTATTGAAATTAATTCTTACTAATAAACTTCTTATGCAGTTAATGGTATTTCTGTGGACATTGGTCTTCTCAATTTCTAGGGGCCTTAGTCTGACAAGTTGTTTGCATGCTTTTTAGATATTTCTAAAAGATTTTTGAACATGTAAAAGATTTTAAAACATTTTGAATGTAATTTGTCCAAAATTCAGCATCCAATTTCCAACTTATTTTTTTACGCTGGCAGTTACCATACTAAGTGTGTTGGGGGATTGTATATTCAACATTGAAAAGAATCAGGTGAGGAAAAACATGAGTAACAAAGATGCAACATTTTGTTTCTGTCAGATTTCTCAGACATTCCATATACTGACTGGTGTGGGCAAACCATACACAATCACTTAGATGTGCATTCCTCCAAATTTTCTGGAATTTCAGGCTGTAGTGATGCAGTATCCCACGGTTCAGCCAGCAGCACCAAGAGTACAGAGCTTGTACTAGGTGAGTTTGAAAGCTTAGTATTATTAGAAGCTATAGCTCTTACAGTATTTTAAGTACTGTGGAATTTTTTTTTTTTCGTACTGGAATGAAGTTATGTCTGTTATTTAAAATAAACCACTTTTGGATGACTTTATCAACAAGGCAGCTGCATTGTACATTATGATGTCAGATAGGAAAATGTACTTGAAAATTCTGCTTTGATTGTATGGAATTTTGCAGTTAAACATCTCTCTATCTTACATGGTGATCAGGTTGACTTTTTTGTTCTTTTTAACATAATGCTGTAGAAAAAAAGTAAAAGATCTTTAAAGGAAGTACAGATTTTCTTTAAAGAGAGACATTTCAGTTTTTTATTCACTTTCTATTTTGAATTAATGTAGCTTCTTAGTACTATCTCACCCAGCAGCATGCTTTAATAATAGATGCAGTGCTGCAGTTGAGTCTGTGTTTAGTTTCCAGTTTTTCCAGTTGTCTCTCCGTATTTTTGAAATGCTAGTATACCTTTAAAAAAAGCTTCCTGAAAAAATGTATTTAAGTTTTGACGAGTATTCAAGAGCATTGAAAATATATATGGAAGTGTTTGTATGTGTGTGTGCATGTACGTGTATACGGAATTTCAAAACAGGCTTACGTGATGTAAAATCAGCACAATCAAGGTGCTTACTTGCTGATTGATTCATTTGTTTTTTTTCAGGAGTAAAATCAATCCCAGATGATACGCCAGTGTGCAGAATACTTCTCCGGAAAGAGGTCTTACGTTTAGTAATCAATTTGAGTAGTTCAGTGGGAACTAAGGGCCATGAAACTGGACTCCTGACGTAAGTTAAATACACTTCAGATGTTTTATCAACATTCACTTGTTTATATTCTGTTTATATTGTTTATGTCTGGTGAAATTTGATCTTATTTCTTAAGATAGCATCTTAAAATAGCATCAGGCAAAAACTGTTGTGGTGGACTGGAGATAGCTGAACATTGTGTAAAGGCTAAGCAAAGAATTTACCTTCTAATATTTTTTACTCTGTTTTTGTCTTTCTCTTCGCATTCTTCTTCAAATCACTAATCCAACAGTATAGAATTACAGAATCATTATGGTTGGAAAAGGCCTCTATGATCATCCAATTCAGCCATCAGTCCATCACTGCTGTGCACACTGAACTATGTCCCTAAGTACCATGTCTACGTGCTTCTTGAATAGTGGCTCCACCACTTCCCTCAGCAGTCTCTTCCAGTGTATTACCACTCTTTACAGAGAAGATTTTTTTCCTAGTGTCCAAGCTGAGCCTGCCCTGATGTATCTCATCCTGTCAGCAATTACCTGGGAGAGCAGGATAATTCTCGTCTTGCTGCAACCTCCTCTGAGCCTCTTGTTCTCCAGACTATAACAATCCCAATTTCCTCAGCCACTTCTCAAAAGATTTGTGCTCCAGATCAGTCATCAGCTTCATTTCCCTTCCTCTGGACACAGTCCAGGCCTTGATGTCTGTTCTGTAGTGAGGAGCCCAGAACTGAACACAGCCTCATCAGTGCTGAGTACAGAGAGAATGATGTTTCATTGTATACTCATTTTGTCTTCAATCTTTAAAAAAAAAAAAAAAAAAAAAGATAGTTGCTGTGTTTATTTTTTACAATCTGAGTTATGTAGTCAAAATGGCAAAATAACTAATTGAGAAACACAAATTTGCTTGAAGGAAGAGTGCAATTACTGGTGCTAATTCATATTCAAAAGTCGTGGTAAAAATATAGAATATAAATGCAGAGACTAAACACTGTGATAGAAACTAGGCTTCTGGACTGCTGATGTTGAAAACAGGCTTGCAGCTGCTAAAAGAAAATTCTGTAGTGGTCATCCTATTTATAAGATATACATTATATTTTCTGTATTTACTTTTTTATAGCAATACTTGTGAATGCCTCTGCAGTTCTTTTTCGGTATCTGTTGTAGAGACTTGGTAATCTTATATATCAATTCTGAAAGGTGTATAGAATATTCTATTTCATTTTTTTAATGCAAGTTTCTTCCAATTTTATAAGACATGATGCTGTCTGATCTGATTTTTCTTTGTCCATCGGATCCAGAATTTATAATACCTATTACTGAAGAGTTCTTGTTCATTAATTATGAAACTCAAGATTTAATTGTACAGTTTTAAAGAACATTATGGAAACCTTCTCTCAGTATTTGTAAAAACCTGTGTTTGTTTGTTTGTTTCTTGCTGTTAATCAGAATTAAGGAGAAGTATCCTCAAGCATTTGATGACATATGCCTGTATTCTGAGGTGTCCTACTTGTTAGCACATTGTACATTTCGACTCCCATCCAGAAGGTTCATTCAGGAGTTGTTTCAAGATGTGCAGTTCTTACAGGTAAGAGGAAGGTTCAGGTGGTTGGAAGGAACCAAAATGTGTGGGGTGTAGGTTTCATTACACTGAATAATAAAGCTTCCAGGTATTTTTATTAAAAACAATTTTGCAATGTCTTTTGCAATTCTTGTAAAATCTGTAATGACATTAATATTTCACCTGACTTCTTCTTCTTCCAGATGCATGAAGAGGCAGAGGCTATTTTAGCAACACCAACAAAGCAACCAGTAACTGATGTATCAGCTGAATCCTGACCTCTGTCTCACACAGTTAATTGCATACAGGCTTCCTGGAATTCTCGGACATCCTTCAATTGAGCAGATAATAAAGTTTGGAGCATCATCTTTTAGACTGTTCCAGAAGCTACTGGTACCTGAAGAACGAACTGAAAAACCTTTTCTTCCTCAACCAATTACTGCCCTAGTCTATGGAGTCCCTTGGGGATTTATTAAATATTATGTAGTTCTAATAATAGTAATTATCAGTATATGCAAGAGCCGAGCACTGAACACCTCCACAAGTTTTCATTTCATTTTTTACCTTAAATTTAAAAAAAAAAAAAAAAAAAAAAAAAAAAAAAAAAGAACAACACACAGAGACACCTATGATTGACTTCTAATTCTGTTCTGGAGAAGCAGAATTATGCCTTGCTTTTTTTTTTTTTTTTTTCTTCTTTCTATTATAAAACCCCAGGAGTTGGATGAGGGTGCATTCCGTTGCCAGCAATGGGGAGCTGTGCTGTGATTGTGGACAGCAGGGGATAAATGTTAGATCTTTTCTGTTGATTTTTGTACTGTTTATAACACTACTTGGGGAGTTTGTAACTTCAGACAGAAAGAAAAGCCTCTGAATCTGAGGTTCCTTTAAGTTATTTTAATGTTACTGTAGTTGTAAGTCATTTTATTAGCAATCTCTCCATTTTCATTACATTTACATACATGTATCTTATCTGAACCATTTAAGGATTTTCACTACAGTTTGATTTAAAAATAGCAAATCATTTAAAGTTAAAATGCTGAAGTCAAATTGTTTTCCCTGAATGATACGCATGCGTTTGCAGTTTCTATGCTCATGCTCATATAGTGTGAATGTTGGTCTTATTCTTAACTAAAAACCTTTAACAGGCATGATTTGTATCAGATAAATGAATATTGTGTAAACTAGACTTGAAGACATTTAATCATTGCTGCTTTTGTGAGAAGGCATATGAGCGGTTTTCCAAATTCCATGAGAACAGCCTTTTATAAAAACGAAGGTTTGATTGAGTTTTCAGTGGATGAGCGGTCAAGCATCAGACAGTGCTAATAATTGTAGTGAAAAGCCTTAAGTACCAAACTTTGAAGCAACAGAACTTAAAATTTTATATTGGTATTTGAGACTTGTGAAAGTTATATGATACAGTGACTGTTAATGAGGAAAACACATGCCTCTATCAAACTGGTGAAGTTTCTAAAGTAAAAAGTGCAATCCTAATGGAGAAGAAAAATATAGGAGTCCCATCACTTTTATAATGCATCTAAAAAGTCAGAAGCCTTCATACAAGGGTAATATAAATATATGCAAATGTGTATATATACAGTAGCATGGCCACCTTTGTTAGAATGACTGTAATAGAAGGGGTTACCCTTTGATTTTGATATAGGTGAATAATTCAGCTGGACTGTACTAAGTAGAACGTATTTTTATCCATTCACTTTTACCATTTTTATAATTATCAGATTAATACTTAAGATAAGTGAAATTTATAAGATAAGTGATACTCATAACCATATTCTTACTAGCTATGCTACTGGAGGTTTCAGTAAGTTGTCTCGTGAGCAGTAGAACATGAATCCTAATGACATTTTAAAATTTACTTGTTTTTATTGAAAACTTCATCTTGCTGCATAAGCACTGCTTTGCAGATATCACTTCACTGAGTTCTTATATGCACTGTGTACCATCAGGATCTCATAAAGCAGATCTGTAAGTTGCTGCTCATAGCCAAGTCTAGTTCCTAAGATTCTTCTCATGAGTTCCCACTGAAAGAAGGGGCAAATCTTCAGATTCAAATATTTGGTAGTCAGTGACAGAAATAATGTATCAGTGTCAAGAAATGTTTTGAAATATTCTGAAAACATACCACACCAGTGATGGACTTCTCTGGTTGTAAGAAATCTTCTGTAAAACCAAAATGCCAACCACAGTAGACCAAATAGTGGTGTAAACTCCAAAGGAAGTAATGTAATTTTCCCAAAAATGGGGCTGGTGTATCTTACACAGTAGTTTCAAACACTACCTCAGTTAGGCTAGAGTACAAGAGATTTGTTTTAGCAACTAGATGGGGTTACATCAAACAACTCCATGTTTTTGTTTTTTTTTTTTTTCAGTTAAAGCAAAATAAACAAGTTTTATCACCTGTATTTAAATAAAACACACGTGTTCATTTGTTACCAGCTTAATACATAGCACTTAAAGTAGAAAGCGCAATAGAAAGGCCTCTGATTATAGAAAAAGGTAAGCAAAGCAATGTCAGTATACTTTTGAAAGATTTAGAATCTTAAATTTCCTAATATACTTGCTTGTAATGGGGATCCAAGACTACAGAAACTTGATGTCTGTATTATTGCTGCAAATTTAGTTAAAATGATTTTTTTCTAAAAGTGTGTGTGTCAGTAGATTTCAACAAGTAAGCATAAAGGTTGTAAAGTCTGTACATAACATACATTTCTAGAATTAATTTACATTAAGCTCATACTAGTGTTTCGTTTTAATTGGCAAATGAAGGGATACTGATACCTAGTTATAAACTGTGAATTTCTAATTCTATCAGTTGCTTTTTTTTATTGTTTGTTTGTTTTAGATATCCCTTTTAAAGTTCTTATTTTGGGGCTTTATTTGCATCATGATAAAACTTCAAAAGAAAGCTGTGGTAAATTAAAAAAAAAAAAAAAAAAAAAAAAAGGTGTGTCTATTAAACCTAATAAAGAATCCTTCTATTTTTCCTAGAAGGGGTAGGAAGGGAAGCTGACAGACCCACTCATGGTTGGAATACAGTCAAACAAATGGTAAAGCAGACAGCGCTCATTGACACAGATTCAGTTTGCTGTGGCAAAGGAAACTCGTGACTGCTGAAGTGTGCTCACATAGGAAATACTCAGAACAGGTCTGAGGTGGAAGCCTTCGTGGGAGGGAGAGCCTGACTATGAAACCAGGGCAATGTAGCCTTCTAAATTATCTGACTCACTTTCTTGGTCATCTTTGGTAGCCAGTGAAAAGGGAGAGCCCTTTTCAAAGGGCAGAGATGTAATTCCAGGGCTCTGAGTTATTTCCTGCTGCTCTGCACTGCACAGGGAGGAGGAGGAAGCTTTTGATGCCTGAAATTCAGGGATGCTGAATGCTTCCAGCTGTGTGGTTGTCAGTTGGAGCTGTAGATAGTCAGGCTTTGAGGTACTCTAAGCTTGTATGCTGGACCCTTGGCGTGTTGTGCTGGTGACAGATGCTTTTCCTTATCTGGCAGCTCTTATTTGACCTGACATATAGGCCCCAAGTTTTTCCCCACAAGAAACAATAGCCTGTAGTTCAGGGTGCAGAGGTTGGCACACAGAGGTGAACTGCCCTTAGAAACATCTTAAAAGGTAGTAGCAACAGTACTGGTCATTTTCTTGTCATTTTGAAATGCATGTTGTGTCTTGAATGAGAGTTGTAATCTGCACTGAGAAGCCGAAGAAACGTATGGCGCTCTCACTGCTTCGCAGTGAAGATAGCTATGTGAGAAACATTTCAAAAACAATAGGCGATTGAATCCCAGAGAGAAATCAAAGAGTAGTTGCTGCTTCCTAATCTGTGCGCTTGTCTTGATGGCGATTTGGCCTTCAGGAATGTTACGTTAACTTGTGAGCATGAGCTCAAGCTGAGGAATCACGGTGAAATTCTTGCCATGCTTTGGATCTGCTGGCCTCCTGCTGTGCAGAAGTGCTGTTACTGGGGGTTCTGTGTGGAGGCAGCTGGAAGCCAGTGCTGAACATTCTTTCTGTTACACTTTGTTATCATGTTCTTATTAAAGGTATACAAGGTGAGGACAAGACCAGTCCTTTGGGAACATGATAGAAACACTGTTTCTATCTTGGTCAAAGCTCCTGTCTCCCTGTTGTGGTTCCTCTCATTTGGCTTAATTTGGTTCTGGTTTGCTGGACAGTTATTTTCATTGGCTTTTGTATGTTCAGTAAAGAATGTGGATTTTCTTAGGGCTATTTTTGTGACATAGACAGATAGTAATGCCACAGCATGCAGAAATTGCACATTTTGCTTAAATTGCTTTGTAAAACACAGTATTTAATTTGAGAAATGTAATTTATGCCATAAAAGTGTAACATGCCATTTTGCCACAGAGTAGGTTGTTTCATCACAAGATGCAATATCTTAGGGAGTAAAGGTAGACATTTTATAGGCTTAATTAAAACATTGTTCCAGTACTGGGCTGTCAGCATCCCTAAAACTGCATTAGAGGAGATGATGTAAATTAATCATTCTGAGGAGGGAGGGGATCAAGGAAAATCTCTAGACTTACTCTCCCTGCCCCATGTTGTCTTTATTTAGTAATACGCTGCTACACATTTGGAGGTTCTAGTGTTTGTAGGTCACTGAACAGACATTGAAATCTGATTTATATTGTATACCTGTAACATAGAAAGAAGAAGTATTTATATATTTTCCGTAAGAATATTGCATTGAGCTGTGTATAATTTAAACAGAGGCTTGTCCCAAAATGGTGTTGCCCACCTTGATTTTTGTGGTTTTTTCTTTTTTTCTGGTTTTTTTTTTTGTTGTTGTTCTGTTTTTTTTTTTTTTTTCTGTTTTTTTCTTTTTTTTTTTTTGTTCTGTTTTTTTTGTATAGTGTGTACAGTTCATGTCTATGGGCATTAAAAGCCTCCTGAAGCATAATCTTATCAAAGGGATGCATTGTTAATAAAATGTACTTAAACTTCTCATAGTTGTTCTGGTCTCATATGTACCTCTCAATGCTAGAAATGGATTAGAATTTTATTTATATTTGTACGTTACTAATTAACTAGAACAAGCTGAAGCTTTCCAAATAAACATTTTTTGTCAAAGTATATTTTACATTAGTACTTTGTAAGATGTCCTGTAAAAATAGAAGGGGACTCCTTAGTATTTTATACACCATTTTTATTTTAAAACTTTATAGTACTGATACTGAGAATTAGTCACTTTCCACTATGTGATGTTTGTACAATTCAAGTGTTATCATTTCAACAGCAGATGTGAAAGCTGAATTATGAACAAGAAATAAATCTTTCCGTTTTGAACTCATTCAGCCATTATTAATACAAGACAGATGTCTTAGAGGGAAGGGGAGAAAAAAAAGAGGCATTTACATGCCTCTCTATCCCCGTGTGAGAAGTGCTTCCTAGTGCCCTCGCTATACCCTTCCACCTACACAAAAGCCTTCTCCTTGGAACAGTCTGTTCCTGCGTTTTGTGAAACTATCGGCCCGCAGACAGGCAGAAGAACTAACCTCTCAGGCTGCCAGGCAGGCCTGTACCTGCTGGTAAGCTGTTCTCTTGCTTCCAAATGACAGAGTGCTTTCATTGGAAAGACCATGTGAACCACCTTTGCTGGAGCTGAGATGGGAGCTCCGGAGTGGCCCAAGTACCTCACCCACCATCAGGAGGGCAGCACCAGCTGCATGACCTCCACCCGTAGCATCCCTGCCGCTTTGTGCTCAGCTGCTGCAGCCAAGCCCCAGCAACAGCAGCTCAGAAGTATGAAATAACACCTCATCAGAGCCCCCCCCCTCTGCCATAATGAACCTGCACCACATCAAATATTAGTACGTGATTAATACGTGGTTTGTGGGACAATCTTGACTTTTTCAGTGAGTCCTATATGAGAATTCCTTAGATACCTACTCTTGATTTTAGTCAGCCTTTCAAGTTTTCTTTAAATAAGCCTTTTTTAAAAATGAAGGATACAATCTTTGTGCTTCCTTACAAACATTTTTGGAAATCAAAGATGACCAAGTTCACCTCAGTATGCTGTTCAAATTCTCAGTTATCACAAAGTCATAGTGCTCAATTCATGTATCTACAAATGCTGCAAGCTAAAATGTGCTAGTACAAAATCAATGTCTTTGTGAGTTTCAAAATGACAGCCAGCAGGCCCTTCCTTCATTGCTAGCTGGAGGAAGATTATTTTTTTTTGACATGCAAACAACAGTATCTGAAGATCTAGCTGATAGAGAGCCTGAACATCTTCTTTGCAAAGGGGATTAATATAACTAACTGCATCTGACTCATGTCTGCTTACATAGTTGTCTGGAGTTTGCAAGGAGTAATGCCAAAAATGGCACTACGAGAGTGTTGCTAACTCCTCCACAAACAGCTGCCCTGATGGGAAGATGGTTCCCACTGCATGTTACAGGCTGCAAAACATTGGCCTGCAAATTCTAAAGCCAGTAACTTCTGATCAATAGATAGCATGCAGCATTTCACTGCAAAAGCCTTGAACTAGTCACCAACGTACAGCTTTGCAGGGATAACAGGAGGGGGACATCTGGGCTTGTGAAAGCCTGTATCAGAAAGAGAAGTTGCTGTGCCTTCAGAAATTCGTATTTGCATTTTAAAACACAACCAATCGACAGACTCAGTCAAAGAGCCTCCTTCCAATGCAGTGCACATCTGTTTGTGATATGTATCTCAGATTGCTCTTCCTGCCAGCTGCTTCTCCAGGTGATGAGGTAGAAGCATCATTCAGAATATTGAGGTAGTACTGTGGCTGGTACAGCACTGCTGACACTTCTCCCTTGCTGGTTTCTAGTGTCTCTGGTGTTTCATAGGGATTGGTTTCAACTGCAAGTTGAGAAGAATAAGCAAAATTTTCAAACCAAGTGTAAGTCTGAGGTGTAGGTGTGGATGGAAAGTTTCTCTCTTCATTTTTGTTACGATAAACTGAGGAAAGATTCTGATCATCAATCTTATCTTCTGTTGGCGTTGAAGAAATCAGGCTCCGTGGAGGTAATTTTCTGGCCTCAGCCTTATTATCCAGTGCTAGGGTGTCAGGAATGCAGTCACTTAGCTTTAGTACTTTCTCAGTACCAATCTACAGGAGAAGCATCAAACACAAAAAAGTGCTCAGTGGAAGAATTCAAGAGTAAAGAAAAGAGTGATTAATTTAAATGCTTGTAAAATTATCAATTTTTTGAGTTTGGATTAAATGAACAGAAATTAATGAAAAATACAAAATGTTTGATGAAAGCTGGATTTTATGTGAAATTCACAGAGTATCTCTGGTACAAAAGGACACAGCATTGAAACAGGCCGTCCAGGGAAGTGGTGGAGTCCCCATTGCTGGAGGTATTTTAAGGGACAGTGGATATGGCAGTAAGGGCCATATCCACTCAATCCTTTACATGTTCACAGAATGGCTTGGGTTGGAGGGAACCTTAAAGCCCAGCTAGGGGCAGGGGTTAGCACCCACAAGAACAGTCTTCCCAGGGCCCCATCCAACTTGGCCTTGAGTGCCTCCATCCACAGCTTTTCTGAGCAACACATGCCAGTCCTTTACTACCCTCTGAATAATGAATCTCCTCCAAACTTTTCATCAGTCTCCCTTCATTTAGTTTAAAACCAGTCCTCCTTGCTCTATCACTATCATACTGCATAGAAAGTGAGCCTCCACCTTTCTTATAAGCTCTCTTAAAACACTGAAGTCCACGATGAGGTCTCCCATGAGCCTCCTCCAGCCTGAGCAATCCCAGCTCCCTCAGTCTATCTTCAGAGGGGAGGTGCTCCAGCTCTATGATCATTTCCATGGCCTTTCTCTGGATCTCCTCCATCAGCTCCATGTCTTTCTTGTGCGGGGATCCCCAGGACAGGCATCAACAAAGCAGAGCAGAGGGGGGCAGTCAGCTCCCTTGCCCTGCTGACAACTGCTCTTGATGC